TGTCAGAATTTTAATGTGGCAATTTGTAATGAATGTCAAGTTCTGTATGAAGATCGTTTTAATAGTATTTCAAATATGCAAAATACCTTACAATCTTTGTGGCACCTTAGAGCTCAATACACTTGACCAGCATAATTACGGTACCATTTCAATGGAAGGCCATATTCTTAGAATGCTGTTGGATGCTACAATATTCTCTTTTTCTGGCTGTCTTGCACTAGTTTATCCAATTAATTTAGTAAACTTGGTGATTTGCTAGAGAAGAGACAAGTGATGGGATTCTAGAAATGGGAGAGACTCAACTTATGAAACTTCAAAGACCTGGAGTGGTTTCTTATGAACATCAGAGTGAAGCTAGAATTTGAGAGGGCCAGCTCTACCTGCCTTTGGTTTTAATGGAGTTATTACCCAATGACAGTGGTGGGATGAAACCAATTGATCCATTGGTGTCGGCTCACAGATGTAAAGTATGCAAGTTACTATAACTCGGGACCTTGTAAATTGACTGCTCTGCCATTCTGGTCAACATGATAGAATAGTTAAGCATCAAATTACTGCACATAAATTCGAATTCTTCTTAAAAATGTCACAGAACCACTGTCAGCCCTTTTATTTTGTGGCCTCAATTGTTCATAGAAACATTCTCTCTCGCCATCAGGGTGTGTGTGCAGTGACAGCACACATCTGATACTCAAAAGCACATTACCTCTGAACAGATTGGCTTCTAAAGAACTATCCTTAAAAATAGCTTTTGACCATTTGCCCTGCATTTGCTTTCTTTCTTGCTCCTGTTGACACAGAAAGCTGGAATTCCCTAATCTTGGCCCAGAAAACCAGTTCTTGTTTTCATTTTCACTGCTCTGGAGATGCAGCCAAGTGATTAAAACAAACCCAGGTCCAAAACAATAGGTCTTCTGCAATACAAATCAAGCATCTCTTGCGTCTTTCAATTCACACACACACTGAAGAGGAGTTCAAAGTCATGATCTGAAGAAATTGGTGAGTTTTTTATATTGAAAGTAAGGAATGCATGGGCCATTCATATTCAGGTTAAATGGGCAGCGAAGAGGTTTATGTATAGGAGAGGGGAGATGAATGTTCAGTGTTCGTAATACTCTAGAGTAGAGCCACTGAAATCACACTATGTTCCTATCCCAAGGCACACTTTCTGACTTCTTTTCTCTACTCAACACATGCAGTTCATGGGTAACTAGTTTATCCATTCAATTCAGTTTGTTTTGATCACTGGCTTTAACAAAACATGCAACAGAACAAAAACAATAAAACAAACCAATAATCGGGCAGTAAAGAAAGGAGCACATACAAAAGGGCCCCATTGGTGTTAAAACTGCCCGATGTCAAGTGACACACGGTAGCAAACATGCTTCACATATCAGTGTAATGTAAGGTTTTCAATTTTATCCACTTTAAACTTTCAATTTTATGCAGCTATCAAACCTTATCTTCATTGTACTTAAAACTGAATCAGGTGGATCAATCCTAGAAAAAGAATTAGGGCATTTAGTTGAAGGTACCGAAAGTCTCTTTAAAATACCCCATTATTACTCTGTGCACAACTAAACGCTGGCAGAAAAATTCTCAAGGTTCATGAGTTCTGTAAATACATATTTAAATACCGGTTGAATTTGTCCTTAATACTCTCAGCAAAGTCTTGTTCCATTTAAGGCGCTTTGTTCTAGATTATTACCATCTGGAGAATGATATTAAAGCTTATTTTTGTCTGCTGAAACTTTAAAGACCACCAACCAATCATCACAGCTACATGGTAGCAGCTCAGTGTTAAGATAATGCTTCCATTGTAGAGATGTAGAGACAGTCCACATTGCTGGGTCCCAAGGCAAAAATAAAATGTAGTATCTCCATTTTGATCCTCAGATACCTTATCATTCAATAATCTAATTTAATTTTTAAAAGGGTCTTCACAAAGTGCATGCCTTCAGAGTTTAACATCCCTCAGGGGCCAGAAGAAATATTCAATCTAGTTTGTTATTAGCATTTGCATTTCTAAAGGATTAATTGTGCAAAGGCTTTACAGTAATCATTTCATCAACAATTGGACAAGGTCATTTTCTTCTCTAGTGAAGTGCTTCTGCATGAGTGCATAAAACTGTAGAGGATAAGGTTAAAGCTTCCTAAAGGAATATTAACATGCAGTTTCCACACTCCTTCAAGGATTAGATTTCTCTTGCCCTAGAAGGCCACAAGGCACTTTGAAGAAGGCCTGCTCTGCACTGAGATTCTGCAGCCCAGAACATTAAATTCGCTGACCACTTTGAGGAACCTCAGTGTATTAATATTCTGCAGTGAACATATTAACATGGATGGCAATTTAATCAAAATCAAGGGAACTCGTTACCACAAAATACACTGGGGATTAGGGTGTTAATTCCATTTCAGTCTTTTGGCAGTCCTAGTTATGGTGGTAAGGTAAGTTAATTTAAAGTTGCTGCAGCTAACCCTTCACTGCCTTCCCATTGCAAATTTTCATGTTGTTGCTTATGCTGGACAAGATTACATCACAGCGCTAGCTGGGCTCCACTGTCTTCAAATGGTTGACTCTACTATGGTCTCACAAAACACATTTTAATTATCAATATATTATTTTTTTAAAAAACACTGCCAGGTTCAATTGCCTTTTTGCATCTTTTTATCATCCTATATAGCCCAGAACTGTTGTTTATAATTAGACTATTATTATTTTAAATTGTTAATTCACTGCAACACACATGAAATTGGCTAAGTGATTGTTAGGAAGTTAAGTGGCAGGCACTCTAGATATAAAAGGTATAGAATGGTATTTTAAACATCATGCTAGATAAAATAATGTAGCCCTATTGAAGTGTACAGCAGAATCGGATCGTAAGGGAATGTTCTATTATGTAATCAAAAATATATTGACAGAGAAAGAGACCACAATTGAGGAGCAAAAAAAAACAAATAAGTAACCTCATATATAATGGATAAAAACCATCACCTTTATAGTAACAAGATGAAAACCCCACAGCAACCGTTTAAAAATGGCATTACTGAAACACTGACATTAGGGATGCATGTTGAAAAACAACCAGCTGTCCTTGGGTATTTAAAAAGTAGCCACTGCTGATCACGTTCAGCAATGAAAAACCTGAAGTTTGGACTATTCTCTTGCAGTTAGTGTCACTTGCTAAATATACACAGTAACAATAAAACAGAGACATTTAGTCTAGCTTTTATATGAAGAATTTAATTATCTATACATGTAGCTAATTGTAAAGGCTGTATTACAGTTGTTAAAGCTGCAGGTTTCATATATTTATATATTTTACATTCATATCAATTAAAATACTGAAGTGCAATTGAATAAGGAACTTCACTTGTTCTTTGCACCACATGAATGAAGATAAAAGGAATTCTACATTGCCAGCATGAAATTTAGAAATAGAAGAAATACATAAACAAAAAGAAAAATGTTAAAGTTATTAGTAGAGTTGCTATATTGTGCTTGAGGCATAGGGCTTTTCTTCCTATGTGCTGGCCGCACCAGGCAATAAAGAGCTTATAACTAATATTTAAAAGACAAACATAGCTTAGAGTACAGCACAGCTACATAAAATTTGACTATAAGCTCCATTTAATGTTACTTGTATAAATTCCACAGTCTAGTTTAAAAAATGTAAACATTGGAAATTAATTGCAGGAAGGTATTTCTATACATTCTTTTTGTCAAGATAAGATAATTACTTCCTCAAGGGATGCTGTTCCATAGTTATTAACATAACAGTGATGATAAAATGTAACTTGAAAAAAGTCATGTTAATTCTGAAGAAACAGATAAATGTACTCTTTTGATTTTATACCAAAATGCCAAAAAAATAAAAAATAAAATCTGAGACACAGAACAAAAAGGTGCTTACTATATGTAGTTACAAATAAGAGTGCAAAATATAACATAATGGGAATAACTGCATTATACATGTATATTCTTTCTTGAACATGGAAGGAAATTAATTTCTTATCCATGATGAATTACACGCACAAACATTCACTACAAGAACATGTAACAGTACAAGAAACAAAATACCTTAGTTGAAATTGTAATTGAGCACATTTTAATTTCCTTTAAACCAGACTAAATCCTGTTTTAGTAGTACACAAAAAGGAAAAAAAAGACAGACACCAACAACATTGGGACAAGTGAAAAAGCAAAAATACAAGTCTCAGATTTATGGACATTTGGAACAATTTTAATAGCACATGCAGCATTCCTTGATAGTGGGTCTTTTTGCAATAACAAAATTGCAATGACAAAATGCTTGTTTTTCTTTAAAAGGCTAAAATAGGCATTTAAAAATATTTCTACTACTGAAAGCACCTGTGCCAAGGTGGAGAAATAGGTGGGTAACTATGAAAGCCACAAAAGGACCCACTATCCTGTGTGTGTTTTTTTTGTCTTTTTGTAATTTTGCATCTATATCTGTAGATATTAAATAAAAACATTGCGATTACATGCAACTAATGTAAAATGAGGTAAACTGCTCTGCAGTGTGTTCTTCTACTCAGAAGGCAGTAGATGATCATGCTGGAAGTCACATGATCAAGGCTGCATCTCCCATCATCCCTCTGGACAGTGATATGGGATAGTGGGTCTCTTTGAGGACTTTCAAGCCTGAGTGGGGGATGGACAACATATGATTCCTAGAAAAAGGAGGAAAACAACACATAAGCAAAACAAAACAATGAGCAAAATTCAAGCTAGGAAAATGAGCCAGGCATGTAAACAGCATGGTGCAAAAATGATAAAGGTAACATGCTACAAGGGGGATGGAACTAAAAACCAACACAAGTTTAGGCTTGCAATATAGAAGGTCTTCAAAGAGAGTTAGGCAAATATATAGCAGTGGCCAAGCTTCTGCAAAACACAGCAGAATCACAGCAATGCTGCATGTTTCTTTTTAAAAAAATACTATGTAAGCAACTACGGAGATAAAATAGTCACTTACATTGCTGGCTCGGGTCCATATCTGTTGTCAGTTTCACATAGTTGGATGGGAAGAGACCCACTTGCCCATTCACTTCTCCTTTCCACCAGTCTGGGTCTTCCTTATTAAGGACGTTAATGATCTGGCCTTTGCTGAATGCTAATTCATCATCATTCTGTGCAATGTAGTCATACATACCAATTACTTGGCACACTGTTAAGACAATAAACAACATTTGAAACTGGTAATATCCATGTCTACACATTTTTGAAACAATATGCTAGTGCCCCTAAAACATCTCCCCACTTAAGTCACTATATTGTTACTACATAGAAGAAGAAGAAGAGTTTGGATTTGATATCCCACTTTATCACTACCCTAAGGAGTCTCAAAGCGGCTAACAATATCCTTTTCCCTTCCTTCCCCACAAGAAACACTCTGAGGTGAGTGAGGCTGAGAGACTTCAGAGAAGTGTGACTAGCCCAAGGTCACCCAGCAGCTGCATGTGGAGGATCAGGGAATCGAACCCGGTTCACCAGATTACGAGTCCACCACTCTTAACCACTACACCACACTGGCTCTGTGCTTTAAAAGAGGAAGCTAAGCTATCAGGTCACCAATTAAAAAGTCAATTCCACCTCTCACCTCACGAAAGGGGGTATAAGTGTACCCACTGACTTCACTCTAGCACGTCTCAGTTCTAAACTATGACAATCTCACCTAATTGCTATTTTACTAGAGGCCAAAAGTAGGGATATTGTTAACTCAAGTTTTTTTGAAATGCTTAGCGAAATTGGGGAAACGTGGTGATGAATACACCATCCAGAAGATCACCATAAAGAGAAATAATGTATTACAATGTGACTAACACAGCGACTTTAAATGACCATACTGAGCAGGCTGACTTCACCAGTCAAAGAATACAACAGAGTGTGGGAATATTTCAACATGTAGAAATTCCAGAGGAAATCATCATCAAACTGGATCAATACATTAAGATACTATCAGGGGTAAACATTCAAATTGATGGTTTCCATAGAGTGCTATGATAAAGGGGCTTGTATTCCATGTAGCATTAAGTAAGCATCCTGCTAGCACAATGATTTCCACTTGCACAATAGGACTTTCCCCTCCTCCACCCTTAAACCTCTCCTTTTTCCAACCCTCTGAAGCAGATTTGGGGGGAGAGTGCTGTACACACAGTGTAGGACAGGGTGGGATGTCCTGTTGCATAAACATAAATCCTTTCACTGATAGGACAAAAGAACTGGATACCACCCATAGTCTACAGCAGGGGTTGTCAACCTGGTCCCTACTGCCCACTAGTGGGTGTTTCAGGATTCTAGGTGTGCGGTAGGGGGTTCTACAGAACAAGCTCAATCCTCCTTCCATTGAGCAGTGGTGGGTGGTAAGGAAATTTTACCATCAAGAAAGATTCATTAGTGGGCGTTAAGTATAAAAAGGTTGACTACCCCTGGTCTACAGAATGCTATCAAACAAAGTCTATATATATCTATGTACTTTTAAAATCACTCTGCTTTGTTTATATGTTCTCTTGACTTAAAGAAGATTCTGACCTATACTCCTGTTTTAGATGTGAGTTGTGATAATGAATCTAACAATTCTTCAACAGCATTAAAATGATGGTGTTAGATCGGTGGATAAGATACATTCTACATCTGCACCAAAATTACCATCATATGTACATTTATTTTTAATCACTAATTATTATATTGAAGAATCATCTTACTCCCACTGTTGCACCTATCATTCTTTATGAAGAATTACAACTGGATATGCAGCCCAAAATTATTACAGAAACTATTTCCATTTGGATGGATATTTCTCTCTCATCTTTCAACTAGCTTGGCTGAAAACAACACACAATAGTAGACTGTAAGCCATATGAACTTCTGCCCCCTGCAATGAATAGTATATTTATTTAGGGTGTTTATGTATCACCCATCACAATACACAGGGCAGTTTCCAACATGACTTAAACAAAATAATTATAAAATATACAATAAATCCATTAAAATTAATAGATATTAGATAATGCACAAATTAAAATAGCGATTAAAACAGTGAGGTAACTCCCAGTGTAATAAAATAAAATACAGCACCATTTTAAAAGTACAAACTTTTATAAAGCTAGCACCAGGCAAGTAGGTGTTAGGAAGGAGATGTAGGACATTATTTCATCACCGTCATCAATTTAAGTGGTTTTCAATCTATGTTTGATGGACTGATAAAAGAGTTTAGAAGCTTATAAAGGGCTCCTTAATGAGAAAAGTCAAGCATGGTGGACAAGCTTAACTGAAAGAGCTTGGCTACAACTACCTATTTCAATCTGCAATGTAAGGCTGCAGGGGAGCATTAGGTATATTCTAGGGTACACTCTCCAGTCACACAGTGAGATAATGAGTCCCCAAAGCCTGTCCAGCACTCTTCTGCATTACCCTGGGGGTTTCACAGCTGAGATTTATGCAACCGTTAAATTTATACGAAAAAGGTCCTCTGAACATAGAAAGTTTGGAAACCTCCTGATCTAAAGCATAGGCAATAACAGGTAATCAAATGCTACAGTATTACTTACCTGAAGGTAACACTACTGATTTAGATGGCTCGGTTGGTGTAGTTTTACTAGTACCAGGACTTAAGAGTTTCACATAGTTAGCAGGAAACCATCCTATCTGTCGTTTTTTCCCACGAGCCTAGTAAGAAAACAATAGCTTAGCATTTTGACTATCAAAATTATCTTGGCAGGAGCAGCTCTGTGCAGTGCTCTGAACTTGTTCAAAGTTTAGAGTTTGGATCCAGGATGAACAGAAGCAATGTGCAGTGTTCAATGCCTCCCTGAAGCCCTCAATATATCACATAAGAACAGCCTAATGGATCAGGTGAATGGCTCGTCTAGTACAGCATCCTGTTCTCACAGTGGCCAGGTAAATGCCTATGGGAAAGTTGTAAGAAGCAGAGGAGCACTCTCCCATCTTGCAATTTCCAGCAACTGGTATTCAGGAGCATATATCCTCCAACTGTGGAGATGGAGCATGCTGTTCTGGAGTGCCTACTGACCCACAGAAACAGCTTATTGTGAAAGAGGCAGACTAGAAAGGATGAGTCAGGAAAATGCCATTGCACAAATGGAACTCCACCCAGAGTTGTTTGGATCTAAGTTTATGGATGGAATTCAACTTTGGAATTCATTTCAGGCAAGCAGAAATGAACTGACAGAACCATCTCCCCACAGAGCCAATTGCCGGGGGGACAAAGGGGGGGAACCATGTTGCACTAGCAGGAAACCATTAGTGCAACTGTTTAGTTGACTTTGGCCTTAGGCCTTTGAAAATAGTATATCAGATTGTCAATACTGTACCCTAAAGTATGGCCCTCCTAATAAAGTTGACCTGATTTTCCATTAGTTATGGCTGTAAATGTAATGACATCTGTTGCTGTGTGGTAATTGGTTAAGTAGATATAGCTGCCTCATCAATACACTTCCTTTACTGCATTGCAAAAAGTGAATTACAGATCTGACAGTTTTGACATTATCAAGAAAAATTTTGCCAAGGACCTCTAGCCCCTAGTATGGACCACAGATTTCAAAAGCAACTCTTAATAGTTGAGATAACAACTATTCATTTTGTCCCGTTTTGACTTTCATTCTCATCCAGGAAGAAATAATTCTTAAATCATCACTCTCTTTACCGGTATAGCTCCTTTTAAACAGGAGGTTTTTATATACTTCCATTCTTTCTAAGTTTTAATGCCATTAAATGTGTATGTGCAAAGCCTAATTAAGCAAAGGTATAAATACACAGCAACAGGCAAGCATTATTGCCATGGCCACAGCACCATAATCTCTTCAGTTTAAAGAGCGCTACTATCATTGCCTGTGATCTTTTCAAGAGTTTAATTCATACAGAGTGAACTGCTGTGCTGCCCTATTTAATAGTCTAAATGGGGCAGCATAGCAGTTCACTCCACACCAAGTTAAAAACTACATGCTATTTTTCTCATGAGTGATGGAATTGTTACCCCAAACCTAAAAAGGAAAAGAAGTGCCAGGAAGCTGTTGATGAAAAAAAATGATTGGTTTGAAAAGATATCACTTTCATTTCAGGTTTAAAAAGAAATAAATAACAGCACCAGATAAACCTTTCATTTTATGTCTACGGTTTTTGTAGCTTTCATTCTCTTTATACGTAAGTAAAAGGTAAGAGACAAAAATAGTCACTAACTTGAAGCTCTCCTTCCCACCATCCACCAGGATTCTTCTTCCTGATAAGTATTAGCTGACCAGGAGCAAGCGTAAGCTGTTCAGGACCTGTTGCTATGTACGAAGCAATAACTTGAGCAATTTCTGTTAATTCAAAAAGAAATTATTTTCATTAATCTGAAAATCACTTCAGAATTCCGTTGTATTCTGTCTCCAATTGTTATAGTGTGGTTCTTGCCATTTCATCTACGGATTGCAAATAAGACACAGTTTTCAATATAGCGATCAGGGAGTTGCTGTTTTTTAAACAGCAAAATTAGACCACCACACCAGAAATAATTGAATGATATGATGCAATGTAATCAGAACATTCTACTACACTACTTCAATTTATGCTTCCTCTTAAGCTAATCACTTGAAGGTCAGTTGTAATAGGAGCTCCAACAACACAGTGCTGAGCTAAATGTAATGTCAGTCCTCAACACTGTGTTCTAGAAAGAAAGTCATGTGTCTGAAAGCTAATTATCAATTAGAGGATAAAGAGTCAGGCACCCCATCTTACAAAATCTTCACATTTATATTTCATGCAGAAGTGCCTGTAAGTCATGCCACTGGTATGAGATTAAAAAGCTGTAGGGCAAATGCACTTAATCTTTAAAATCCTTTGTACAGTTATATCTGTACAAAGAATTATTTTGCAGAAGTTAATTTTGTTTCTCAGAGCACAGCTTACCAGGTTTCTTGCCTAAGCTTCCTGTTTTTCCAGCTGTTCCAGGCACCTTTAAATAATAGAACAAACATAACTCACACTTCCATAGAGAACATTGCAAGCTGCTTTGGAAATAGAGAAGTTTTCAAAACTGTAATATTGTAAGGTAAGATATTCTGCTGCTGAAAGTTAAGTGGCAAAAGTCTCACAGGGTTCATGTAAGCCCTTGGGTAAACTACAAGTCCTTATTCCTGGGCTAAGTACAGAGCAAGGAAAATTGATGGTTAAACTTCATATATGGGAGCCCCTTTCTATTATTCCTATCTTAAATTACAACATCAGAGTTAGAGCTATGTATACGCTGATGAAGGAAAACAGAAGCTGCGTTCTGGCAATCCGAACTGGGCACCAAGAAAGTTTGCAGACACGAGGGCAAATCTGCTTAATTTAATTTGCATAATTTCATCTGGGTTCTTTTCACTTTGACTTTCAACAACAGCAATCGCACAAACAAATGACACAGCTACTATATTACATGCAGATATAACATGTAAAAACACAAGCAATTTTACAGGATTGTCACACATTACAGTCTACATGAATGTTTAACGTAGGCAATTTGTAAATGTCTCAAGTCATATTCAGTAATTCTTAAAGTCAAACATAATACCACCTTGTGTTATACTGAAATCTGAATCCATTCTACTTTCAACTCTGCTTTATAAAATTAGCCCTCCACATGTGGCCCACTAATTCTTTGTTTTTTAATAAAATGCATGCATATGTGTGCATTTTACCTCAGAGTCTTTGAGTCTAACATAGTTAGATGGAAATACTCCTGATTTATCGCCCAATGTTCCTGTCCACCAGTCTCCATCCTTCTTGGTCACAAGAATTAAATCCCCTTGCTGAAATGTTAAATCTCCTTGTTCAGAACTTTCGTAAGTGTACATGGCAACATATTCTGGAGGGAGGAAATTTTTAGAAATGAGAAAGTACTTGTCAATCATATAATATTATTTTATGGGAAAGAGTGGTGTCCTAATGTCCAATAGAAAAAGGGTAATGTAATACAGGATACATTCTGCTCTCAAGTGCAGTGGTACCTTGGGTTAAGAACTTAATTCATTCCGGAGGTCCGTTCTTAACCTGAAACTGTTCTTAACCTGAGGTACCATTTAGCTAATAGGGTCTCCCGCTGCCGCCGCACCGCCAGAGCACAATTTCTGTTCTCATCCTGAAGCAAAGTTCTTAACCCGAGGTGCTATTTCTGGGTTAGCAGAGTCTGTAACCTGAAGCATCTGTAACCTGAAGCGTCTGTAACCCAAGGTACCACTGTATTGAAATCCACCAGCTATTTCTGTTCTCACAAAATGACTTCAAGCCAGTGCAAGATGAAAACAAGACCTGAGGCTCATGAAGGCTCATAACAATGAATAATAGTTTGCCATAATGTGCAAACTGTGCAATTTAGTTAACAAAACAATTGTTTTCCAGAAAATGTAACACAGGAAAGTTTGATGATACTGTTTATTTCACATAGTTTTGCTCTCAAACACCCAGTATTTAGGCAATAGTATCAACAACAACAACTTTATTATTTACATGCCACCCATAAGACTGGGTTGCCCTAGCCACTCTGGGAAACAAATCATGGTATTTTCAGGGTTCTCCAGTTAAAACATTCTTACCTTCCCCTGAAACTGAAGATTTTGTAACTGGTGATGTTCTCTTCAGGTTAGCAGGACTCTCTGAAGACCCAGAATCCATGCTTAAAGAAACAAGTGTAAACATTTTATTGTCTAAATTAACATGGTTACAGAATATGAAAAGGGTACAGAGCACTATGATAAAAGTGGAAGTATTTCTTTTATAAACATTATTCTAATTTTTATTTGCAATCTTAATAGTACTTCCACATTGTACAAAAGTAGTTAAGTCTTCATCAGTCCCCTCTAGGGATGGGTAGTTTGAGGGTGTGAGACACTGCCTTGTCTGAGCATTTAACCCATCAAAGGAAGGTTCTAAGATGGGTCTCCGTTTATCTGCTTTATAAATAAAAATAGTGCACTGCATGGGCCTCCAACAACACAAAGCTCTGTGTGGTGAGGCTATTTTATTGATATGTTCCAAAATGTCCCTTTGTGGAATCTACTTTATTAAGATTTCTGGAAAAACATACTTAAATTTGTTTATTTCCCCCCCCCCCTCTAAATACAATGATGCGCTCCACACAATTCTTGTTCTTTGTTTTATTTGTGTTGTGCTTATTAACTTTCCAAAAACAACAGTTTTTTGAAGGTACTTAATACTTCCTCTGCCTCTCTTTTGTTAAAGGCACTCGGACCACCGTTCTATACAGTGGTGCCCCGCAAGACGAACGCCTCGCAAGACGGAAAACCCGCTAGACGAAAGGGTTTTCCGTTTTGGAGGCGCTTCGCAAAACGAATTTCCCTATGGGCTTGCTTCGCAAGACGACAGCCCATAGGGAAATCTCCAGGACAGCGGGGAAGCGCAGCGCGTCTTCCCCACTGTCCTCGGACCTCCTCCGAAGCCGGGCGGTGGGGCGGGAACACCTCCACCCGCCGCCGGGCTTCGGAAGGCTCCTCCAAAGCCAGGCGGCGGGGAGGGAACACCTCCTCCCGCCGCCCGGCTTCGGAACGATGGTCCTGGACCTCTTCTGAAGGCGGGCTGGGGGCGAAAGTCTTTGCTCCCCCTCCCTGCCTGTCCTGGAGGGCTTTTGAAGGCAGGCGGGGGGGGGAGCAAAGACTTTCGCCCCCCCGCCCGCCTTCAGAAGAGGTCCAGAACTTCTTCTGAAGGCAGGCGGGGGGCAAAAGTCTTTGTCCCCCCCCTGCCTGCCTTCCCAGGGGCTTTTAAATCGCCCCGGACAGCGGAGAAGTCCTCCGCTGTCCCGGGGTTTTTTAAAATGCTGGGGGTGGGAAGAAAAGCCCATGTCCCCCCCCCCCCCAGCCTTCAGAAGAGGTCGGGGGACAGACTGTCCCCGGACCTGGTCTGAAGGTGGTTTCCATAGGAACGCATTAATTGATTTTCAATGCATTCCTATGGGAAACCGTGCATCGCAAGACGAAAAACTCGCAAGACGAAGAGACTTGCGGAACGAATTAATTTCGTCTTGCGAGGCACCACTGTACATGCACATTAAAGAAAAACATTGCAAGGGCCTAAATAAAATTTTAGTGAGATTCTTTTCAAATGTTATTACATACCAGGGCTTCTGTCCCTGCTTGCTGCGCTCACCAGCTCTGCCTACTCCTGTGCCAATCACACTTTCCCCACACCTGACCCCTCCCTTTACACCTCCCCCCCTCTCGTCTCCCCCCCCCCACAGTTTGCCCCCTCTCTCCTTTCACAGCCCAGCTCAACCTCCACCCACTTTTAAAAGAGGGGAGTGCTTTACAGAGTGCCTTGCTAAACACTCTGTGAAGCATCTCTGCCCCCCTCCTCTCTGCAGCTGCACTTAACAGAGACTCTGTGTGTGCTTCACAGCACAGCTTACTATACTGCTTTGTGAAGCATCTCCTCTTCCCATAATAAACGCCTGCCACTAGTGCTGCTTCCTCACTCTCCTGCCTGCTGATTGTCACACTGGAGTTGGTGTAGCTGCCAATGAACTGCACATGAACTCCAGAACATGATGGCAGCTTTAAACTTTTATGTATAGAGGAAGAAAGGCCCTGTAACGTCTGACAAAATCAAATACCTTGTTGATTTCCTTATAGGACCTGAAATAAGCTTCACATAGGATTTAGGAAACCAGCCTTTTTGCCCTTGAACTTCTCCAAACCACCACATGTCTTGCTGTTCTAACACCGTGATAATATCATTCTTGTTAAAATTAAGATGGTTGTCCTTTTTGGCTCTCCAAGGATACAGGGCCTGTGCTTGAAGTCCCTCCACTTTTTCACCCTGGTTAGATATATGAAGAGAACAGTAATTTATGCAGTGTATTTCAGGAAACAAGAGTGGTTTATCATGATTTCTAAGCTCTTCCCATCTACTCCCTAAGAGTAAATTGTTTCTTGCATTTGCATGAATTGTACACCACAACTCATTCTATCTGCAGCTCTACATTTATTTGCAAGTACTTAACACAAAAAGCTGTATTGTTTGTCATCAAGTTTGCTTGTATCAAGTTTTTATCTACACTGTCTGGAAGTGGCTTTCCAGGACTTCAGGCAGGAGCTCTATCTACCCACAGCAGAGATGTCAACTGCTAGGCATGTGCTCTCCCACTGAACTACTCCTGGAAAGCACTGCTTTACTGAGAAGCTTATTTATATTTAACACACACGAAAAGTATTTAATAAATTTAAAGGCTGACTTTAATGCATATAGCAAATGTACAAAATTATTTTGAGTTTGTGATTGTACCACTATGTTTACATGGTATCAGGGTAGCACTACTGTGTACACCAGAGCTTTCTAAACTTTTCATGTTGGTGACACACTTTTTAGACATGCATCATTTCGCAACACAGTAACTCAGTTTAACTAGCAAACCAAAGGTTAAACTAACCCCTTTCCAGTCCCATGGAGAGTGTTCGCACAACACACCTACACACTTCAGCCAACACACTAATGTCTTGCGACACACAGTTTGGAAAGCTCTGGGGTACACTAATGACTGGAGAATCAGGAATACAGTCATACCTCTGGTTGCGAACGTGATCTGTGCGGGAGGCATGTTTGCAACCCGCAGTGTTCGCAGCCTGAAGTGCAGCGCCTGCACACGTGCATAACGTGATTTGGCGTTTCTGCGCATGATGTCATTTTGCGCTTCTGCGCCGAAACCCGGAAGTAACCCATTCTGGTACTTCCGGGTTCGGCGCAGTCCGCAACCCGAAAACACGCATCCTGCAGCGTTCGTAACCCAAGGTATGACTGTACCTGAAATGTTAATCACACTTATCATTCCAACTCTACAATTATATGATTCTATGTCTATATATGCAAACTTGAGCTATTTTAGTCCCCTCCCCATTTATTTGTGTGATAATCTTAGAAGAACTAACTCATTGACATATGCAGTACACAACATTAAACATAACTTTAGGCTTACAACCACATAGTACTACTCCACTCCTGTTGTGAAATGACAACTCACCTGCCCCAAGACAGGAGAAGGAGATGATCCAGTAACAGTGGCTGGGGTGAAGGCAGATCTTTGCCTCAACTGCCCTGTACTAGGAACAGTAAGGGAAGGTTGTGCTGCCCAAGCATCCCAGTTATCAGTCTCTTGTTTATCACTAGTACTTGCTGGCCAGCTGAAAAAGAAAGGTATGACGGGTTTGAACTGAAGATACACACAAATCTGTTCCTCTTATTTCTTGACTATTGCATGCTCTTCAAATTAATGCTTATTCCTGCCGCAGACTCTATTATCCTATATCTCCCTCATCTACAAAATATTCACTACTGCTGTGGCAATCTTTACCCAAACCTGAGAACTCAGAAAGAGATATTGATATTCACCAGCACATTTTTGCGGCAATCAGGTATTAGCTGGGCGCTGGTGCTTCTTCTTCAGACACTTAGGATCAGCTAAGAGGAACCAGCAATGAAAGGCTCCCAGGCAACTATGATCATATTTTGTCTCACTGCCTTTGAAGTTACATGAACGGTTGGTTTGTTTTTAAAGAAACCATTTTATTTCTTTGGGTTTTTTAAAGTTTGTAGTATGAGAAAAGCAAGGTTTTTCCTGACAAACAAGCTTGTTTGATGTATAGGTCTTGGCTACAATGTGTAATAATATAATGTTACTCAAATTATATATACATAAAAATTGCTACCACAGAAATGAAGCAGAATCTTAAACTGGTTCTGTGAGATGACTGGTGCTCCAGAACCTTGGAGTTTTAAGAGAGAGAATTCTTCCTGCCACCAATAGGTGGATCTGAATTCCATCCTGATGTACTCTTACATGCACAGGAGAAAATATTTTCAATAAAGCAATTCATTACCTGTGGCAGGCTAGTAATAATTTTGTTAGTATGAACTTTTGTAAGTATTTGCTATGATGCTGAATTAACTTCATAATGCTACCAATATGCCATAAACAACTAAGATATAATAGGTGGCTCAAATGTTTTGCAGACTTAACTGCAAGACTACTTTAAACCATGTGGACTATTCACCTTTACAGTTATAAAGGAGAAAGAAAGGAAAATTGAACCCCAATGAAACCGTACGTTGAACTGAAGTCTGCCCAGTTGTTGGCAGTTGTACTTGAATCTGTAGGAACAGGCGGTGCCAGTGGTGTTGTGGGGGTTTCACGCAATGAAACTTTAGGTGCAGCTCCAGCATCAGTTACTGGCTTTACAGAATTTGTAATTTCATTTTCAGAAATTCTCTCTGCATAGTTTGCAGGAAACCATCCTGTTTTCCCTTTCAGTTCACCTCCAAGCCACCCAGGCTCTCCAGTTTGGCTTTCATCCACCTGTACAAATAAACCATATATTATATAAGATACAATACACAATTAATAAATTTTCTCCAAAAAGCATGGCACCTGAAAGTTAAGGAACAGTGTTATTGCTGCATGTACTAACTATTCCATGACGTTACAGCTACTTAAAAACAACAACCCCAAAGTACATTTGTAGTGATTATGGCTTTAATAAAATCCAAATGTGAAATTAAAGCAGATATTTTGCAGAAACTGTTGTTGTCTCAAAATAACCAGTTGCAATAAATCGATTACAGACTGCAAAATTTTTGCAGCAATGTAATCTAAATCTTTCTATATTGTCCAAAGAGTAGGAGACACAGTGAGTTGGAACAACTGTAATTGTACTGATATCTATAGATTGATTTTTTAATGTTTTATGTTGTAACCCGACTTCATATATTTTATGAAACTGCAGATCATAAGTACTTAAAAATGCTTCAATGAAGGTAGGAAAACACAAACAGGTTCATTCTGGGACAGCCACATCCCACCCTCAGTTTGATTTCCTGCCTTTGACAACAAGGTGGAGCGATAGCTCATGCTGAAGACCTTTATGATCATTGGGGAAGCCTGCATTATGGGCTGCACTACTAAGACTGTGGGCAGGAAGGAACCTGATCTAGAATAAATCTCTCCCCAGTTTGGGGACGAATGATCCTTCAGATCCAAGCCCTTTTTCCTCCCCAACACACTCCCTTTTTGGCCCTACTAATGGAGCATCAACTTCATTCAGGCTAGGGCGGTGACAGTGTTCCATTTCCATTGTCAGTTCTATTTCCTCTAGGCTAAGTACATTACTTTAAGACACCACTCCATCTTAATTTGACCTTTCAGCCTCTAGGATGTTACAGTTTCACAACATGTTATCTATCATTAGGATAGATACAACATTTGTGTTTTTGTGTAACACTGTATTCTTCTCTTACCATGATTATGTCTCCTGGCTGGATAGTGATTTCATCATGACTTCGGGATTCAAATGGATAAAGTGCTCGATAATAGACTATTTTTACATCTTCCGGAGCAGAAATTGTTAATGGAGCCTTTTCTATACACACAAAAGCAAAAGCATAACAAGGTTTATTATATAGAAAAAAGGGCATTTTTGCTTGCACAAATGCTACACTATTTTTCATTATACTCCTGCTGAACAGAATGTTATCTTCATTTTACCAAAGGAGAAAGAAAGGAAAGTCAATCACATTTGAATTTAAAAACATTTGAAACTAAGTCAGAATCTAATCTGTATGTGATTTTTTTTTTACTCTGTTGCATCTAAAGAATTGAGGATGCATTGCAACAAACTCATAACTGAAGTGTAATAGCCCTTACGGCATATATACTAAAGGCCTTTGTAAATTGCACACCCATGCATACAATAAAAAGTATATTCATAGGATACATAAAATCTATCAAAAATATAATGCCTGTTTTGGGAAAACATGTTCAAAGCATTATTAAAGATAAAGTTAACTAAGCATAAAGGGAAAGCTAACCTCTGGAACACCAAGCACTCCCACTCTTTACTTACACTAGGAGGGAGGGAGTGTGTGGCTGCCATCATTGATGCTGAGGGGAGCACTATAAAAGGGGTATAAATTTATCATTCGTGTGGAGAAAGTCATGAGACAAGTCTCTCTCTTTTTCATAATGCTATAACCATGGCTATTCAAGAACCCCAAGTGTGGGGGATTCAGGACAGATAAAAGGAAGTACTTCTACACAGAACACTGCTGAACTATGGATTTTGCTCCAACAAGATGGAGTAATGGCCACCAACCTGGATGGCTTTAAAAGAGGGTCAAGGATGGAGAATAAGGCTATCAATGGATAATAGCCATGATGGCTATTTTTACTTTAGTATCAGAAGCCCTATGCCTCTAAATACCAGTTGCTGGGAAAGAGGGGAGCCAACTTGGGCCCCAGGTTATGGGTGCCCAGTGTGTGTGACATCATGACATCATGCCGCCCGCCCACCTGGCCTTGGAACCTGACTTCTGGTGCCACCGAAAGTTGGGTTCCAAGGTCCTGCAAGCCCTTGGACAGCACCTCTGAGGTTTCAGGAGGCCTCTGATATGACTTCCGGTGCTTTGCCGCGTTCGCAAGCCGAAAAGATGCAACATGAACCAAACGCAACACAAGGTATGACTGTACATTTTTCTCAGAGGTCCAAGAATGGAAACAATGTGCCCTGGTATCATCTAACATTGACTTCTCCCAGTGATGGAGAATCTTTATGGAACTTACATTCCAAGTAATGCCATTTACCTATCCTGCAGGTCTATATTAGTTTGGGGTGGGAGGAATGAATAGATTTTCACTACCAGAGGCAAACTCTGAACCCAGTACAGTGGTGCCCCGCAAGACGAACGTCTCGCAAGACGGAAAACCCGCTAGACGAAAGGGTTTTCCGTTTTGGAGGCGCTTCGCAAAACGAATTTCCCTATGGGCTTCCTTCGCAAGACGAAAGCCCATAGGGAAATCTCCGGGACAGCGGGGAAGCGCAGCGCGTCTTCCCCACTGTCCTCGGACCTCCTCCGAAGGCTGGCGGCGGGCGGAGAGACCTCCTCCCGCCGCCAGCCTTCATTTCTCCGCTATCCCGGACGGCTTTTGAAGGCAGGCGGGGGGGGGGGAGCAAAGACTTTCGCCCCCCTGCCTGCCTTCCCGGGAGAGCGGAGAAACTCAGCGTGTTTCTCCGCTGTCCCGGACGGCTTTTGAAGGCAGGCGGGGGGGAGCATAGACTTTCGCCCCCCGCCCGCCTTCAGAAGAGGTCCTGGACCTCTTCTGAAGGCCGGAGGGGGCGAAAGTCTTTGTTCCCCCCTGCCTGCCTTCCCGGGAGAGCGGAGAAACGCAGCGTGTTTCTCCGCTGTCCCGGACGGCTTTTGAAGGCAGGCGGGGGGGGGGGAGCATAGACTTTCGCCCCCCGCCCGCCTTCAGAAGGGGTCCTGGACCTCTTCTGAAGGCCGGCGGGGGGCGAAAGTCTTTGCTCCCCCCTGCCTGCCTTCCCGGGAGAGCGGAGAAACGCAGCGTGTTTCTCCGCTGTCCCGGACGGCTTTTGAAGGCAGGCGGGGGGGAGCAAAGACTTTCGCCCCCCGCCCGCCTTCAGAAGAGGTCCTGGACCTCTTCTGAAGGCAGGCGGGGGGCAAAAGTCTTTGTCCCCCCTGCCTGCCTTCCCGGGGGCTTTTAAATTGCCCCGGGACAGCAGAGAAGTCCCCCGCTGTCCCGGGGCTTTTTAAAATGCTGGCGGGCGGCAGCGGAGGCTTCGCTCCCGCCCGCCAGCATTTTAAGGTCGCCCCGGACAGCGGAGAAGTCCCCCACTGTCCCGGGGTTTTTTTAAATGCTGGGGGTGGGAAGAACAGCCCTTGGTCCCCCCCCAGCCTTCAGAAGAGGTCGGGGGACAGACTGTCCCCGGACCTGGTCTGAAGTCGGTTTCCATAGGAACGCATTAATTGATTTTCAATGCATTCCTATGGGAAACCGTGCTTCGCAAGACGGAAAAATCGCAAGACGACAAAACTTGCGGAACGAATTAATTTCGTCTTGCGAGGCACCACTGTAACTAGAATGTATTTTAAGTTCTGTTCTAGTTTGTGTTTAGAGACTTTAAAGTAATGGTGGAGATGCATTTGGAACTGGGTTAAATAAAATACAGATTCAGACTTGCTTCTGTTTTGGATTAAGTTTTCCTCCCTGACCAAATTTGAATATTCTGTTTTAAAAAGATACACATCTGTACATAATAATATGACGGGAATAAGACTTCTCATGTACATAACAGGATTCCCCATTGATTTGTACCTGCAGTTGACCAGGGAGCTTGGAGAGCTGGTTTTGTTGCATCTTTAAATGGATGAAAAAGTTTATCTAATTTTTCTTGCACTTCTTGCTTGCTCTTCTCATCATTCTCCTTCTTTTTGCTTAATTCTTCCCATTTTTGCTTTTCTTCTTCTTGAATTTTTCTTGGCCGTGGGAGTTCTTCCTCCTGTTGTATTCTGTCTAGCCATTGTCTCTCTCGGGTTCTTCTAATTGGTGCAGAAGAATAAAACAGGCATGATATAGGCACGTTGCCCGAATAGCTCAGTGGGAGAGATCCAATGTAGTGTGAGTGGGTGTTTCTTCATGTAATGGTGCTTCTTTTCCCTGCCCCTCCCTGCAGCCCCTTGCACACCCAAAATCTGCTCTTGAGGATTGGGAGTATCTGCAGAACAGATGTTGGGGATGCATGGAGGGTGGGAGGGAGAAGAAGAGAAACGTGAATTCCTGTAGTTTATGTGGACATCTGTTGATTTAAAGGTGTATCATATTATATTCTTAAAATTGCTATAACCTTCCCTGGAACCTTATGGTAAATAGTGGATAATAAAATTATTTTTATTTATTTCATAAAATATATACACCACTTGACTGAGAGAAAAAACACCTCAAAGTGGTTTACAAAAAGAAAATCAAGAAAAATTTACACCCCTACTTTAAAACCTAAAAAACTTAAAATATTAAGAGATTAAAATTACTTCAAATTTCTAAGCATCAGGGTAGGCTTGTCTAAACAAGAATAGAGTGAAACTGCCTGCTTGATCTCATTAGGCAGGAAGTTCCAAAATGTAGGCGATGCCACACTAAACAATCAAGTTATTACAAAAGCAGAACAGGCACCTCTAGTATTATTAATAATAACAACAATTCTGTTTTCTGTAGGGCTGAGGCCTCTGCGTTCCTTGCATGAAACTCCCTTGCTCACCCAAATCAAGCAGCACTGAGCAGCCTGTACACAGTTCAGTTCTGTTTCAGGCAGGGATTAGCTGCACATGCTAGTTCTCCATGGGCAGAACTGAACTGTGAAACCATAACAAGGACTGAATCCTCCACCCATCAACTGATAGGTGGAAGATTCACACCTGCTTTCTACAGGGATCAACTGTGTGTGCCAGGGAACTAGCATATGTGGTCAAGCTAAACAGGACTGGATCCCAACCAATCAGGTGACATCACCTGACAGGTTGGTGTGATTCACAGAAAATGGCCTTGTGTGTCAAATCAGAAACCCTGCCAGGCCAAGACTGGACCAGAGGTTCTCTACACCCTACTCAGCGTTTCCTATATTTGTGTTCTTCTCTAGAATGCCAAATATCTTGATGCACAAAGTTCTGATTGTATCCTTTTCATAAAAAATGTGAAAAGTACGTTTTTAATAAATTTTACTCACCTCTGACTATCTTTTTGATTTTCCAGTTCTGATTTCCTCTCTTGCTCCTTCTGCTTTAGCCTGTCAGCTTCAATGTTCTTTTGCTTCTGCAGCTGCTGCTTGTTATGTATCTCCCTCAGCTCCTGCAACAGGGGGTGGCATGTTTTTCAGCATAAAGAACAAACATTCATGTTTTGAACAGCCAAATGAACTAGTATTAGGAATATTGTTAAACGTTACTTTGGTACCCAGGACTGGTTACAACATGGTTGCTAGTTAAAGTTTGCTGTTCTTATTGATTTTAATTTTAACATTTCTACCCTATTTCTCCGAAGAGACTCAAGATGGCTAGTGAACAGTAACAGAAACCTCAGAAACCCCTTAAAAACCCCAATATACCTTGATTTTTAAAAACAATATCCAGTCCATTTAACAAACAGATATCTGATCTGGTCTGCATAACAGACACCTGAGTGGATGAGCCATGCCTGCCTGGGTACTTGGTACACCACCAGTCTAAGCTCTGTGTGTGTATGACAATCATCCATTAAAAGTGTGTCTTCCACACCAGGAGACCAATCCACATTGTGAGGGGCAGTTTCTGGTACTGGGTCAAAGGGACACAACAGTGGTGTTGTTAGTGTACTGCCCACCGCAATGAACTTTCCCCGACCAAACTGGTGGAAGGAGACTTGGATGTGTTAGAGGACTTCAACATTCATGCTAAGGCTGCTTCAAATGGGTCAACTCATTGCCTATCCCAGTACAATGGCCCAATCCATGTGCTCAGAGCCACCCTCAACTTGGTTCCCCCCAGCAAATCAGCAGTACTTTGTTGATTGTGGAGTTTATTGTCATGGACAAATCATTCCCTGGTGAAGTTTGAATTAGGAGCAACTATCCCACTCCGCAAGGGTGGAGGACCCATTGAGATGGTCCACTCATGGAGAATTATGAAATGGTTCCTGAATACTCTGGGGGATTTTCTGGCCGATATGGCTGGTACTTCTTCTGAGGGTATTGCTACGGAATTAAGACATGTATATGGTGATTGATATTATTGTTCCTGAGTGCCCTTGCCACTGTGGAGTTCACAGGTCACCTTGGTACTGTAGTGACCTGCATGTAATGAAGCAGGACAGTCAAAGGCTAGAGTGGTGTACATCCCAATCTGAACTTGAAGAAACATGGACAAGAGTGTTTTAACATACCTACCATGGGGTGGTAGGCATGATAAAGGGCTTTCTTTGTGGCAGCCTCAAAAATGTGGAACTCCTGTTTTATCAAGGTGCATCTTGCATCATCATTCTTGAGTTTTCATTGTCAGCTGAAGACACAGCTATCAAAGTATTTTTTGTGACCTACGTAAAAACTTGTTAATATGTGAATATTGTTGCTTTTGTGTTTAATTTAAAATTGTATTACTTCACTTATGCTCTTGTAACCAACCCTGTTGTGGAATATTGATCCAAATTTACATCCCTTTAATAATTTCCTGAGTCTGCTGTCCCAAGCCTTAAGTTTTTAATTAGCATATTAGAAAGGCTTGCAAGGAACAAGAGTTCGCATGAGTACACAAGCTCTAGTACAATCAGTACCCAAGGTTTGTAATCAAATTTTGCTGCTAAAAGGGATATCCTGTGGCCTCCAGAAACACTATTGCCCCAGCTATGAGGAAGGAAGTTATTTGATGAGAAACTGGGACATTCTTGGAATACCACTGAACCTGGAAGCTGTCACTGAAAAGAAAGATACCTCTCAAACTTTGAATTCTGAATGCAAAGTTTAATTGGTCAACACCCAATGTGTACATTGCTTACTCAAGAGAGTGCTAACAGTAAAGCAGAGTATTTACTAATCACTTGGCTCAAATGTGGTGCTTATGGAAGCTCATATATGTAATTTTAATATATAGTCTGAAAGCTAATTTGTGTACAGGGATATAAGTTGGTGACAGTAATATGGGACACATTTCATGCTCCAAGTCAAATTAGGGGATACCTTCAAAGAATAAGTGGCTTAGATTTCAAAGGCTCTCGGTGCCTTGAAACTTCCATTGACTTTTTTATTGGGCTGGCAGAGACAGTGTCTGGGGTACAGTAGTGCTGGGTGACTTCAATTCATACAGAGGCTGCTGCTGGGCAGGCTCAAGACTTCATGGCCTCCATAACCATTTGAATCTTAATGTCTGCTTGTGATGACCATTTGAATCTCAATGAACATTTGAATCTTATGTCTGGTTATGATGGCCACAACAGCAAGCCATACGTAATGCTGGAATCACTGTAACCTCAACAGTAACAGGTTACGTTCTTAAATAGTAAAGGAGATAGCCATCACCTTTGCTAATTATTCAACTGATCTATTGTGTCTTAACTGAATGTCTTGTTAATAGCAAGCACTTAAGGTGAGCTCTAATAATTCTGGATGTTATTTAAGAACTAACTAGATTACTGGTGAGTGATTTATGTTGAAAACTTAAGTAATCTCTAAACATCATTAATTAAATGAGTTGTTTGGTGGGTTATGAAATCTCACATCAAAAGTAAAGTCCTAATCTTGTCTGCAATGCTGAAGTGAAAAAGGGAGCTTTGGCCAGAAAGCAGCTTACAATAATGAAAGAAAAGGGTCCAATTAGCTTTAAGAGAAATCACAGAATTCATAGGATGAGAGGAAAAAAGCTTTCACTAATGCCTAAGGATATCAGTTTACTGTATGGCTACGATTATGCTACAAGTAATGGATTTGTGCTTTTAGCATCACATTCACCATCTCTCTTTTATTCAGAGCAATTTTCATTTTAGAAAGGGTGAAATGAAGGGCAAGGATAAGGAGGAACTTGATCTTTTTTCAATGCTCTCTATCTGCACAATCAACTCATCCTTTCTTTTGCCTTACAATTATTTCATTTTTAGTACAGAAAAGAGCATCTAACCTACTAAGAAAGTAAGTTCTATTTGTCTGTTGATATAAAAATGGATTTACAAGCTTAAATCAAATATTATCACAATTTATTCTGTGTACAATGAACTTACATAGCAAAGCAAGTAAAATTCTGTAATTTAGACGTCTGACTTTCATGGTAATTCTATTTACCGGTAATGTTTTGCCTGCCTTTTAGGCAAAGCCCTCACAATGTTTTTTGAATAGTCAAGGATACACTTCTGCTACCTTGTAGCCATAGCACTGGTAGGGCATGGCTGTAGCTCAGTAGTAGTACATCTGCTTTGCATACAGAAGATCTTGGGTTCAATCCCTAACCTCTCTAGGTAGGGCTGTCAGTCAGTGAAGACAGTACTAAGCTAGATGGGCCAATGGTCTGGCTCAGTATAAGGCGGCTTCCTAAAGTCCTAAATTCTTGGGCTTTCTGGATTTACTCAGAAAATGTCACAGCTTAGACATGGTTACCTTTAGCTGATTATTGAAAATATCTATCTCTTGAAGTTTTGATCTTGTTTCTTTTTCTACTTCATCCAGCTGATCACGAAGCTGCTGGTGTGCTAACTCCTTTGCTTCTAAGGCTCTTTTGACAGTGAGAAGTGAGTCTCCTGTTTTTAAAAACGTTGACAAATAAAGATACTTTCTTACAAATATGCAGATCACACAGTTTGGCAATTTTCAAGGCAAAAAAAAAAAGGTTAGTAATAAATGTATGTTTCAAACATAGAACTGTGTTTTAATTATACTTACTGTGCAAACTGTTTTGTTGAACCTGCTTCAGCTGATCATTGAGTAATTGCTTTTCTGGAATCAACCTTCCAAGCATCTGTTGAGACTCCTACAAAAATAAAAAAAGCAAAAAATAATCAATTTCAGCTTCAACTAAAATACCATGTTGTTAATTGCTCGACTGTACTATGGCAAAACTCAGCACCTACTACTGTCAATAAACCAGATCTGGGCGAGTTATATGTTAATATCCAAAGCAATGTCCTCACATGTCACAACCTCATCTCCCAGAGAGGTTCTGTCACTCTTTTTAAAAGGTTTTTTTTTCCATATTTTAGAAAATGCTACAAACGAATAGTTTTAAAAAACCCCATTCATATCATGCTTTTTGAATGGGAAAAAGTAGACAACCACTTGAAAATTGATTGTAGGGAGGGGAGAAAGACAGATGAATATGATCAACTCCAAAGCACTAATATCAAGATATTGCGAAGGTGAGGAAAAGGTGAGGTTATGGAATCTATATAAAACTACACAAGCACCATTTATTGCTGAAATGTACAGTGGCTTTCGACAATGGTTTCATTCAGATGTAATAATAAAATGATGGTTTCTTGTTGCATGAATGAGTCTTGGACACATCAGCTCCCCTCTCTTCCTCCAGCACTGCTGCAAGGAAGAAATTAGAAGCTTTTAATTTCATTTTTAATGAACCACAGGTGAGCAATGACATGTGGTCATATGATATGTGGTTAGCCTTAACTATGGTTACTGAAACAAGGCCACTTAATCAGGAAGCTGCCTTATATAAGTAAACCTCAGATAGGATTAACCACAGTTTAGGGTTTAGATGGAACACTGAACTTTGGTTACTTAAAAACAGAAGTGAAAGCTTCTGATCTCTGCCCTGCAGCCAGGAGTGTTTGAACTGAAGACCTGCTCATGTAACCACCACTTGATTCCTACCTATCATACTAATCAACATTAAAAACTGGTGTTCAAGGCGTACTATTTATCTTTAGCTAGACTGGGGCCGGGGGGGGGGGGGAGAGAGAAGAGAGCTAGTGTTCAAAAATAAGCAATTTTCCTTAGGTCTAGAAGGATAAGCTGAGCAACTGGTCAGAGTATTGTACTCTATGGGGGCTTACTTTGTTCCTGGTCCAGTTAGTACAGAATGCTGCAGCACAACTGACGAGAGCCATTTGCAAATCAAGCTCTGAAGCACCTCCCTCTCTGTTAAGCATCAGTGCAGTATTGCTTAAAGGAGGGTAGGAGGCACTTCAGAGATCGGCAAACTGCTCTCTGAAATGCCTCACACCCTCCTTTAAAAGGCACTGGCGGGAGCTGTGAGGGAAGGAGGGGTTTGGGCCAAGCTATGAGGGGGAGTGAAGGTTCAGAGACATGTGAGGGTACAGAGGAGGAGGTGGGTGAGGTGTAAAGAGAGGGGGGTCTGCTTGGGTGTAACGGGAGGAGAGGTTGGCAGGTGTGTGAGGAAAGGCATTGGCAAAGGGGTTGCCTGCTAGGTTGAGTTGCTGAGCAGAGTGAGCAGGGATGGCAGCCCCTTATTACTTATATTTTGAGAATTTTTTAGGTTAACTTGTTTCTAATGATCCAGCTTCTGAATTTTTTTTAAATGCTCATTTTATATTATATGTAACTGCTTAGAGGTTATAGATGATGAAGCAGTATTAATCCTCTTGTGTAAATTAATAAAATAAAAACAAAGTTTAGTGTAATGTACACAAGCAGAAATGAGCTACAGCGCGTCTTGGATTTGTGTGCTGCCTACTTCTTCTTCTCCTGCACAGCCAATGAGTAGCTCAAAGGATATCACTTCCACATTTAGTAAAGCACAGCTTTACCTAGAACAGTGGTTAACATTATCTGTGGTTAGTTTAAAACAAGCTAACTTCAGAAAACATAGTTTTAATTTTGTTGTTTAAAACTAAGTATTATTACAGTGGTACCTCCGGTTGCAGAAAGGATCCATTCCGGAGCTGCAGTCGGATCCCGAGGTTTCCGCAACCGGAAGGACCGCTTCTGCGCATGTGGGGAAACCCCAAAAAATACTTCCGGGTTTGCCACATTCGCATCCTGAAGGATACGCAACCGGAGGTGTGCGTATCCAGAGGTACCACTGTAATGTTAACCACAATGTGTTGCTCCAAATAGCACAATAAAATGTAGTTAACCAAAAAACAGAAGCAGAAGCTTGCAAACGTCTCCTCTTGGCTGTATGGTGGCAGGGAATCCAAAGCTCACAGTGCTTGCTTATGTATGATGCAATAAACTATGGTTTAGCGGTGCACCAATATGATAAATGGCACAAGAAGTATGTAACAAAAATTAAACATGTTCTTTTCTGTTATAATAAAATTTGACAACTACTAGTTTCAACCTTATTGCATTATGCTCTATTTTGTTTCATCAACAGCAGAACAGACAGGGTATAGTAACTAAATATTTTCAGTAACTGCATACTCACTTGTAACTGCTGCTGCAAATGTGTTATTTCTGCAATTCTTAGCTCTCTAGATTTGTTTGTGCTCTCAATTTCTTGTCTTTGAGTAGACAATCTGCATCGGATATCCTGAAGTTTGCCCTCCAGTTGATGTTTTTTATCATTCTTCAACAAGAAAATAAAGAATTGGTTTAATCAAAATTTAAATTAGAATGCAATATTTGCTGCAAATACTTCTAGGCTGGTCTGTAAGTCGAAGAAGAAAAACAATCATTATGGAAATGACTCAGGTTTGTATTGTTGTTTCAAATCATTAGTTATATCCAAGGTGAAATACATTACTTTGAAAGATTCTGGCCAGTATTTCTCACTTACTAGAGCTTCTAATTCAAACTCCAATGTTTTTTTCTTAGCTTTCAGAACAACTATATCCTCTTGCTCTTTGTTCCTTTGATTCAGGAGCTCTTGCCGCCGATTGCGTTCCCACTCAAGTTGCCTTTGTCTTTCAAGTTCCCTTTTTGCAGCCTATAGAAGATTAAAATTATGTACACATAATTTGTAGACTTTTGTAATCTGTGCCACATTACAAGCCATTCAAATGCAAACTTTACAATTTAGCAGATGTACCGCTTCCTGTCATCCCTCTATGTGTAACAAGACTGAATGGATTCTGGGCTTCTATACATTCTCTAAGTTCTCCATTTCCCACCATGTACAAAGTATCATCTAAACCAGGAGATTCTGTGAGTACATAAACAAACACATTGTTATTCTGGAAATTGCATCAATAGTGAATGTCTGTGGAACAGACAGGTAAGAGAATTCCTGTATTCAAATGATAATATCCTGGTTCAAATGTTACTACTACTCTGGAGAAAAAGATTTACGTGGAGGCCATTGAAACATTATTCCACTTCCAAGCAGTTTCATGTTATAGAGCAGGGGTAGTCAACCTGGTCCCTACCACCTACTAGTGGGCATTTCAGGATTCTAGGTGGGCGGTAGGGGGTTCTACGGCACAAGCTGAATCCTACTTCCATCGAGCACTGGTGGGTGATAAGGAAATTTTACCATCAAGAAAGATGCATTAGTGGGTGGTAGGTATAAAAAGGTTGACTACCCCTGTTATAGAAGGTTGCTGTATGTTACTAAGAATATTTCTCATATTAATTTCCATAACTGAAAGAAAAGGGAACTTGGGTCACTAGTCAACTAGTTATGCTGACTGCTCTTTATTCTATTTAAATCAATACGTTTAGTCCTAACAGTCTTTCAAAGCAGCTTACAAGCTAAACTACCACGATAAATATCACAAGATGACCTTCACAGATTGGAGAACTGGGCCCGAAATAACAAAATTAAATCGAATAGGGACAAATGTAAGGTTCTACACTTAGGCAGGAAGAACCAGCTGCACAGATATAAGGCGGGAGACACCTAGCTTGCCAATTGTACATGTGAAAAGGATCTAGGGGACTTAGTAGATCACAATCTTAGCATGAGTCAACCAGGTGATGCAGCAGCAAAAAAGGTAATGCTATTCTAGGCTGCATCAACAGAAGTCTGGTGTCCCAATCAAGGAAAGCAATAGCCTGCTCTATTTTGCCTTGGTCAGACCACACCTGGAGTACTATATCCAGTTCTGGACGCCACAATTTAAAGAGGGTATTGACAAGATGGAATGTGTGCAGAGGGCAGCAACCAATATGGTGAAGGGTCTGGAAACCAAGCCTTATGAGAAACGGTTGAAGGAGTTGGGTTTGTTTAGCCTAAAGAAGAGGAGACTGAGAGTGCATATGAGAGCCATCTTCAAATATCTAAATGGCTGTGACGTGGAAGATGGGGCAAGCTTGTTTTCTCCTGCTCTGGAGGGCAGGACCCAAACCAATGGATTCAAGTTACAAAGAATGAGATTCTGATTAAACATTAGGAAGAGCTTTCTGATGGTAAAAGCTATTTCAGTGTAACAGACTCCCCTTGGAAAGTGGTGGAAGCTTTTAAGCAGAGGCTGGATGACCGTCTACCATGCATGCTTTAGTTGAGATTCCTGCATTGCAGAGGGCTGCACTAGATGAGATTTGAGGTCCCTCCAAAACCTATACAGTAGTTCTATGATCCTAAACATGCCAGACACTACCAGAAGCCCAATAAACAAGCCTGGCAGGCCACTCATGGAAGCAAGCTCTACAGTGGAGAGAAAAATCACTCATAAAATATGCAGGAGTATATACAGGAGACAGCAGTCCTTAATGTAACGTGGAACCAAGCTGTGCAGGGCTTTAAAAAGGTCAAAATCTGGAATTTCAGTTTTGTTCCAAAGCTAAGGAATAGCCAGTATTGTACAGTGTAGCTATCAAGGGAGCATACATGAATCTATGTAGATTTAATTCAACATAGTCTCAAAACTCCCATGATCATTTATCAGATCCAAGTGAAGAAATGGGAAATTACCTAAACCCTTCCTGAGAAAATGTTGCACTGACATTAGATCATTTCTAATTTTATATAAAAAATGATTTCACTTTGTACAAACTTTGAAGAAAGCATAATATTCCCCAATATACCTTTTAAAATTTGTTTTTAGACAAGTAGGTATTTCTTCTGAAATTGTCCATTTACCTCACGCCTTTCTATTTCTTTCCTCCTTTCCTCTTCTCTCTGGCGTTCCAACTCTCTCTGTTTTTCTAACTGTTTTTCTAATTCCAGTTGCCTTTTCCGTTCCTGCTCCTGCCGTTCACGCTCTTTCCTCTCCTGCTCTGCCCTTTCTAACTGGGCAAGGCGCTCTTGCTCTTTTCTTTGCTGCTCCAAAAGGGCTTGTCTCCGCTTTTCAAGCTCTAGATTGCCACGTTCAAAGTTCTCACGTTTCTTATCTTCAAATGTTACTTTAAGAAAAAAAATTACAGTAAGAAATCAGTTTTGGGGTGTGTGTGTGTGTGTGTGTGTGTGTGTGTGTGTTATACACACACATAAAAATACTACAATACAATATACAATACAATACAATAATACTATAATATCCAACTGGAATTGACTTTAAAATATTAACAATTTGAGCAAACATCTTATTTTCATTCATTTCAGTATTCCTACAGATGGTTACACAAGACAAAAATATTCTAAAATGTTTTGAAGTTAAATGGACTTGGAGTGTGATAGGAAAACTTCTCATTTGCTAAAAATTCACCTCCATGTTGATTACAATAATTTGTGGAAGATAACGGGTTTTGCTAGTCACAACTCTTAGGCACAGGCATGCAGTTCCTCTCTGTATATTATACTGGTCATTGTAAAGGTGTAAAGCAGTTAAATAGGAACTAATTCCTCTGAAACATATGAGGCTATCTTTAATTAAGACCTCATAGAGAAATAGTTGAAGTACTAAGTTACCATGATCTCCACTGGATAAATGAAATTTATTCCTATCAAAAAGGACCCAAGCAGTCCAAAAAGAACCTTATGGTACTACAGCTATTACTGTGCAAAGAGAATGCCAGAAGGCTCATGTAATGTGGGAGGAGCCCATGATACATCTACTTCCCATGCATGTTTCGGGGGGGGGGGGCACACTAATATTGGAAAAGGCTGTACAGTGGTGCCTCGCAAGACGAAATTAATCTGTTCCGCGAGTCTCTTCGTCTTGTGGTTTTTTCGTCTTGCAAAGCACGGCTATTAGCGGCTTAGCGGCTATTAACGGCTTAGCGGCTTTAAGAAAAAGGAAACAAACTCGCAAGAACTCGCAAGACGTTTCATCTTGCAAAGCAAGCCCATAGGGAAATTCATCTTGCGGAACGACTCAAAAAACGGAAAACCCTTTCGTCTAGCGAGTTTTTCGTCTTGCGGGGCACCACTGTATTTCAAGCTTCTCTCCCACAAGTTTCTGACATTAGGGCACCATGAACATAAGAAGCTATATTGCAATTATGAAGGTAACATCAGAAGATACTGAAAGGAAGACTTTTTTTTTAAGGTACCCCTGCCCGTACGGGCCAGTCTTGACAGACTCTAGGGTTGTGCGCTCATCTCACTCTATAGGCCGGGAGCCAGCGCTGTCCGGAGACACTTCCGGGTCACGTGGCCAGCGTGACATCGCTGCTCTGGCGAGCCAGAGCCGCACACGGAAATGCCGTTTACCTTCCCGCTAGTAAGCGGTCCCTATTTATCTACTTGCACCCGGGGGTGCTTTCGAACTGCTAGGTTGGCAGGCGCTGGGACTGAACAACGGGAGCGCACCCCGCTGCGGGGATTCGAACCGCCGACCTTTCGATCAGCAAGCCCTAGGCGCTGAGGCTTTTACCCACAGCGCCACCCACTAAAATGAACAAATTTGACAATCATATTTGCAATTTGCAGGTTCAGTCAAACATTCTTTTGGTTCAGACATACACAAATTACCAAAATTCTAACTCACACCAACACATATCTTCCAGGAATTACAGCACTTCACCTGTTGACTCCAGGTGGCATTCCCCACCCCCATTCCGAGATGTTTTAGTGTCTCCCCAAAAGATGGTCAAAGTGTGCTTATTTACAGCAACACTCACCAGGCAATTTCTTTTCTAATTGCTGCTGTTCTTCTTCTAACACTGGTTCTTCTGGTAACCTTTGGTCTGTGGACACCGAACTTGCAACAGATACACCACTGCCAGAGCGAACTCTTCTGTCAGGAAGAGATAGTAGGTTAAAATGTGTATATGCATAATGCTTCTGTTATTAATTCCATTACGATTTAGTTACCTAGTCAGAGTGCTGTGCAGGCTACTAACTTACTCATATAAAATTAAAATTCAATACCTTTTGGCATAAGTAAAGCTGCAACAAGGCCTGCCTTGAAAGCCACCAACAGGCCAGTTTACCTACCTATTCCTCACCATTTAATTCATATATAAACCAATTCCGCTACATTGTGGTGGGTTTGAGAGATAGTATTCTGTTTGTGATGGTGCATTTAATTTGCAAGCTACCACTGGGCAAGTGAATGTGCATGTGTGAATCAATCGTATGACCAATCATAGTCAATGTAAATACTAGACTCTAGGAGGCAATTTCTACTGTGGCCCAAGACACACAACTACTGCGAACATCTTGTTTTTTAGTTTCTTTGCCTTTGATGCAAACAGGTCATCCAGCGAATTCATTATGAGATTGCATGACACACTGCCACAACTTTAAAAGGATTTGTGATGCCATGACACACTACAATCTGCATTCATGATTAATGACTGGGACAATGCCATGAATATTTCAATCCAGGCCTAATGAAATATTTAATTTAGCTAACTTAAAATGATACATTCACTCAAAAATAACAACTACTACCATTCTTCAGTACAATTTTGACAAAGAGAACAACCAACTTCAACATAAAGGAATATGGCTCGGTTTTTGCATAATGCACACAGGAGATTATAACATTAACCTTTTCTTAATGCATTTTTCAGAAATAAAGCAAAAACATAAATAATCTTCTAATTAATCACGGATCAGGATCAAAATCAAAGCTATAATAATTTTACCTAAATGAAGGAGGAATATATTCCGGAGACAAGACAGGTGGCAATGGCTGTCCTGACATAGCCATATCAATTAAGTGCATAGCCAAAATAAACTCTTCTGCTGTAAGTTTTCCATCCTGGTCAATATCTGAAAGATTCCTATTGAAAAAAGATCCAATTACATGTTTGGAATTTTTGCCCACTATCCAAACCAGGAAAAAACACAATCTACAACACCTGTTCCTAGAAAAATACAGTATATTGAAAACTTGCTTAGGGTGGGGTAAGCGCTGTTTCTGGAAAGCCCTGCCAAGTAGAGACTAAACTGTCATATTAATAACAACAAGGAAGATGGCTGAAAAAGTTTAAGGATATGGAGAATTAAAGTAGCTCTGATGCTTAAAGCACAATTTTATGAAAAATATTTACCATATTGTAGCCAATTGAGCTTGTGGTAAGCTTGATTGCATAAGGATAGTTCTTGCTTGTGGACCTAAAGCATTGGAAACATAAGAACATGAAACTGACAAAATGTTCAAATTTTAGTATTTGATTTTCAAAACAGTCACTTATGTGATAAACTTTTAAGATCTTACAGTATCTATTTTCAACATAAACAGTAACACTGGGTCAATCTTTTAAATTGCAACAGAAATAAAGCCTTCCAATATCTACCTTTCTGAAAGCTATCAATCTAATTTTATGGGAAAGGTAGATGCGCCTAATTAATTAATGAGTGAAGTTGTGTATAGCATTTTACACTTTGAGTTGCCACAGAGTTTACTGTGGGGAAGCTGCACATTTGGTGGTCCTCATGAAGCAGCCCTAAGTCATAGCCAGTTACCACACCAACCCAACAATGTCCTCAGATTTATTTACATAGTTATATACTCTGTTTCTTATTAATTTCAAATACTGTCCACAAACTACAAACATAAACACCCATAATACAATCTAAATAAACCAATACAGTGGTACCTCGAAAGTTGAACAGATTCCATTACGGAAGTCCGTTCGATTTCCAAAACGTTTGGAAACCAAGGTGCAGCTTCTGATTGGCTGCAGGAAGCTTCTGCAGCCAATCAGAAGCTGCGTCGGACATTCGGGTTCCAAAGAACCTTTGCAAACCAGAACAATCATTTCCAGGTTTGCGACGTTCAGGGGCCAAAACATTCGACTCGCAAGGAATTCGGGATCCAAAGTAGAACTGTACAACATTAAAATACAGTACCACAATAACAATACAAAGGCTAGAGAAGAAAGCAGTTATTTTCAAACTAACTAACTAAAAAGTAAAACACTGCAGAAGAGGCAGTGGAGGCAAACTTGGCCTCTTTGTAGGAATTCAGAGCAAGGCCTGAATCAAAATGCTGCCAAGAGTGAAGATGGCACATACACAAGATAAGCTGTTCTCTAGATAATCAGGACCCAAACTGCGTAGGGATTTGTGACAGAAGAGTGAATGCTGAACAGCAGGGCAGTGGGACAGAATGCTGGGTGGAGTTCAAGTGAGTAACAAGTAGAATGACAGTCAAAAAATCACAGTTGAAAAGAATAGTGGCTGAAGATACAAAAGGAAAGAGGGAACGAGGTGAGAGAGATAATGAAAGCATATGATAGCACCATCATTAAAGAGATTTATGTTAGAACAGCATAATAGAACTCCAAGTATCCTGTAAAAATGATTACTTTTTCTGGATTTTACCTTCCTTAAATATTTGTTTTTGTTTTAATTATCTGTGCTCTGGCCTGGGTGGATTCTAGGGGAAGTCTGCCTCCACCCATATATGTAGCAGCAACAGGTATGTCAAGGGAAGTCTGAACTCAGCGAGCAGGTGAATGACCAACCTAGTGACTTCCTGGGGACAGGGCCATAGGGGTCGGCAACCTAAGGCCCACGGGCAACAAGCGGCCCACGGGGGTAGTTTTACCAGCCCATGAGCTGCCCCTGAACTGAGCCGCCCGCTCAGTGAGTCCCTGCGCGCTGCGCTAAACCAGCGCAACGCAGCGTGGGGACACACTTTCGCAGCACTGGAAATCACGTCTGCGCAGACGCAGATGCTGGAAATTGCACAGGCGCCCGCTCATGGGAGAGAAGCTGCACAAATACCAGCTTGCCTAAATCAACCTAGATTTGTTGCTGTTTGTTCCTCCAGCAACTGGTTGCCTCTGAATCTGGAAATTTCATCTTAGTATCATGGCAAAGAGACATTGATGGACCTGCCTCTTAACCCCTGCACTACACAATCTCTAACACATTTAGCAGAGTCCACATATTTTTAAAATTAAAAATGAAAGAATACCTGTTAAGTGTCCACTCATTGTTTTATCATGGCTATTGAAAAGCTGCCTATATTTCAGTCTTGATGATTGAGGAACAGCCCATTCTGCTGCTGGAGATGCACTGGAGTTATAAAACAGAGAAAGTTATCCCATGATCATTCCATCACAATCAAACATGACAGAGCATCTGCTTAATTTTAAACTTTGAAAACATCTCTGAAACCACTCATTTACAACCAACCCCCTTAAACTGAATGGGAACATTGTGTCTGAGTAGCTGCAGGAATGTCACCTGTAACAATGCTGCCAAAGTGCATTAAAAAGAAAAAGAAAACAGTCATACTTACCCAGGTACATCAAATGATTGTGCCTTTTGCAGTTTTGCATTTAACTGAGACCCTGCACCAGATCTACTGAAGGAAGAACTCTTTGGCAATGTGGCTGAAATAGAACAATTATGTTTTCAGGTCAGGGCAATTAAAGTACAGACAACCAGTTATTGATACATAATATATTTTGATAAGTAAAGGACAAGCTGTCAACTTCAGGAATTGATTTTTAGGTTAGCATGCTGCCTTTTGTTTTAAAATAGGCACTAAGACAGCTTACAACAAAAGCACTTTTTAAAAACAATAAAAATTATAAGCAAGAAAAGGCAAAAATAAAAAAGAGAGTCAAAAGAAGAAGAAGAAGAAGAGTTTGGATTTGATATCCCGCCTTTCACTCCCTTTAAGGAGTCTCAAAGCGGCTAACATTCTCCTTTCCCTTCCTCCCCCACAACAAACACTCTGTGAGGTGAGTGGGGCTGAGAGACTTCAAGGAAGCGTGACTGGCCCAAGGTCACCCAGCAGCTGCAAGTGGAGGAGTGGAGACGCGAACCCGGTTCCCCAGATTAGCAGACTACCGCTCTTAACCACTACACCACACTGGCTCAAAAGATAAAATAATACTAAAGGAGAGAGAAAGAACACTAGAATGATACTGCAAGTAACACAGCTTACCAGGATGACCAAAAGCAGGTAGAGGTTGTATAACAGCTGGTGCTCCATTAGCAAGGGGGGGCACAGCTGCTGTAGGAACAGAAGATACTAAAGGTGGAGACATTCCCACTACTGGAATAGACGCCATTGGCACTGGAGCAACAGCCGTAAGAGGAGGCATACTGGGTAGGCCCCCAATACCTAAGAAGAGAGAGATTTTCATAGTTACCATCATTTACAAGTTGAATGGCCTTGGGTTTGCCAACTGCCTCTTTTGTGTCTTCTACCAACATGGCTACTAGGAAGAGGTTGGAAACTTTCACTTCCATTTTCAACTAGCTTCTGCTTATTAGTATGTTTGACAGTAACAATAACTTAATTTGGAGATATTGAAACAAGACAACTTCATAATCATTCAAAGTTAGGTCTAAACCATTGTTTGGGTTTGTATGCAAGAATGTAACTGCTTTTCATTGAAAACAAAGCAAGGTCTGCCAGTCTCTTTCTTGTTGTTGCACCAGGGGAGCAGAGTGGAGTGCAGGACTCAAGATTCATGCATGCAATACCCAGCTTATTACCTTGTCCTAAGCCCTGCAGTACAGCAGGGAGCTAAGCGGACTCCATGAGGGCACTCAGTTCTATCAAATCAAAACCACCTCAGAATCTCCTATAGAAATTGGGTTTACTCTGTATTAGACTGAAAATAAATACTCTTAAAAGATTAAAATGTGAAGATCTTAACAGTGAGAATAAACTAATATGCTGGAAGAACTGCTTGCAGAGTGGTGGTTAAGTATGAAGTAAACTGAATTAAGCCAAAAAACTAGTTTATTGGTGTAAATATTGTACACTATAAGGAAAAAAGGCAGGAAACTAAAAAACAAAACAAAACCCAATTCCTTGGACTGCTGAATGCAATCAAATAGCTAAATTAGTAGTGTTTCCTCTTCTAGTATTTCTGATCAATGTTGCACTTGATATTACTTTGACTTTTGCAATGACTTTTGAGAGTTGACTAGAGCATCAAGAAATGGGGGGGGAGGGGGAGAGAAAGGCAAGTAAGATACCACATAAACATAAATGAAGTCTGCCCTTACCAAATCCTGGTGCAGTAGAAATGGCAATGGGAGGCTGTATCATAATAGGAGGCAATACAGAAGGAAGCTGATAACCTTGAAGTTTTAGTTTGATAAGTTTCATAGCGATAGAAAACTCCAGCTGGTCCATTCTCCCATCATTGTTCATATCTGCCAGAGCCCTACATACAAATAAAGGTAATTCATTACTTGCACACCCTTCCAAAAGATGTAAAATAAATAAATAAATTTGAATCTATACTACATTTATGTTAGGGGAAAAAAAACAATTTTGCAAATCAATACATTAAATAATAATATTGTTATATGCTACCTGTACAAAATGATGCAATTCTTCTATATTGTATAGATCATATTACTACAAAAAAAAAAGTGCTGAACTGAAGTTCAGGATGAAACATACATGTTCTGTGACCTGGCACTAACATCAAAGGCAGCATCCGTATGTAGATTTCTCTCCTGTACATTTACCCTTATGATGACATTATTGCCTTTTTATATGTTTCCTTATGTCCACCATCAGCAGTCAGTAACACTGAGCAGTGGTGGACAAAAACATTATGTTGTGATGCAGGTATACATGCCCAAACATCAAAGAGGAAGGAGGGAGGGAAAATTCAGTATCAGATTATTTTCTTTTGATGTTAGTCTCAAGTTGTCCATAAAGTTATTATTCCTCATATTATTTAGGTGTAATGTTTTTACTTCATCTGTATTTCCTACCAATTCCATAAATTAATGCCTTGCAGAGAAAACAACTATTTAAGACTATGCAAACAGTACTATTGCCTAACAGAAAACACAAGTATAAAATAATCAGCCCAACTAATCAAATCCAGCTTGAATGTTTAACATAGTAAACAACCTCAAGGAAGCCTGTTTTATCACCTTCTAGACTGAGAACTTCCTCAGTCAAAGGTGAACTAGATGTCAGTGACTCTAGAGTATTGTGGCTGCAAAAGGAGAGATGGAAATACAAAGTCCAGGAAATGATCTGATGTTAAAAATATTTAGTTTTTCCACAAATGAAGGTGGTATTAGATTTCACAGAAATTGTAAGATCATGGTTACAACAGGAATAGTTAATGCCATTTAGTGATTTGTTTGTCTTCCCTCCCTCCAGTTTTCACATGTTTCAAGATGAAAGACTGACATCATTTTGACTTGAGTATAAGGACACTTCAAAGTCTGACCCTAAACCAGGCTTCCTCAACCTCTGCCCTCCAGATGTTTTGAGACTACAATTCCCATCATCCCTGACCACTGGGTCCTGCTAGCTAGGGATCATGGGGGTTGTAGGCCAAAAACATATGGAGGGCCGAAGTTGAGGAAGCCCGCCCTAAACCTAGAGTGCTATTATGATACACATCATGTTTGCATTTAATATAACGCTACTCAACCTTTTTCCTTTTCAAAAACAACATGCTTACTCTAGGGGAGGAGCCAAAGCATAATGCTTTGAATGGAAAAGTTCCCAGTTTCAAAAGCCCTGCCCTCCTCAGCTAAAAACAGTGCAATAAAGTGTTAAAAGCAACTGTATAATCAGCAAGGAAACAAATCAGTTACATAGTTGTAGGTGAATCTCACTCAGAGACCACAAAATGCAGCAAGACACAGACTTTCAGGGAAAATACCTTAAACAGAAAAACAGAACCTTGAAGAAAGAAAAAACCTTGAAGGTGGGGACACGGAGAGGAAAATGTAACCAAAATCCTCAACACAGAATCACTTGCACACCCAGTGACAAAGCTCACAACCCTAAACCAGAACAAAGATCGCACAATGAACCAGAACAAAAGACCAGAAGAGCATCAGCGAAAACAGGTCTGCTTCAAGTGAGGCAGGAAAAACGAACTGTCACGCCAAGGAAGGGGATGACTCAGAGATTCCCTTGAAGTGATGACATTATTTCCCGCTTAAGTGACTGAAGGATTACAAACCACTTTGTGGTGTCCTGGTGTCCACTCGAGAATAATACTGAACAAAATGGACCAATTCTTTGACTCAGCTTCATGTGCAGATTTACTTAGAAGTAAGTTCCGCTGAGTTTAATCAGTTTTACTGGAGTGTTGTATTTTTCATTGTTGTGTCTCAAAATGCTTTCCTTTCCTTTCCTTGGTTTCACTATCTACTCTAATTTTCTAGTTCTCTACTTAATATTTAAGATGTACTTCTATCACTATTTTACAACTACACACAGGTCCTGCTATTGGAGCACTTGTTACCCAAAATGACCACGTCCTTACTTCTTTCTGTTTGCAGGTTGGCGGCACCCATTTTGGGCAGAAACCATGGAGAAAGGGAGGGGGGAAGATGTGACAAATCAGAGCAGGAAAGATTGGACTGGGAACTGCTTTTGCTTTGTATTCTGCTAGTTGGCTGCAGCAGTTTGGGGTGGAAACCAGGGAGGGAGGGAGATTGGACAAATCATAGATAAGAAATATTTCCATAGCATAATTGGAATGTATTTGGAATTTATTTGTATTTGTATAAATTGTACAACTGGGGTATTATTGGGGTAATATTAGAAAACTAATAAAAAATTATTTGGGGAAAAAGAAATGTTTCCATAGGAAATAATTGAAATCATCAGCTCATTATGTGAACACTCATCTAACAATCAATTTCCTGGGGACTTGTTATGTTTGGATAGTAAGACCTGTGTGTAATTGAGTTATAATGTAAATGGTCTTCCATCAATGCAAAGAGTGCTCAGAAAACTACTTGGAAACCCCTAATTGAGGTCCCCCTTGTCTCCAAGGACAGACAGGGATGTCAAAGAGATGCCAAGTTAAAACAAGACACAGTACAGACCAAGTGATATCCACTACTTTCCTGATGGTTGAGTGTAGAAAAGGCCAATACACATACTGGGTTGAGCTGCGTCTCTGGAATGTAATGAGTGAATGGGCTCAGAGCAAATGGCCTAATTTCTGGCTATGCTTCTTCATGCTACTATCAGCTTTTTTTGCTCCTTCCCATGTAACATTTTCACAAAGACAGATCATAGCCACAGTCTAGAGAAATGGTCATGGAAAACCTCAGCAATCTGTGGCAATAAATCCAGTAACATATTTATTACTTTATGAACTCTGCTCTAGTGATGTCTTGTATCTACCATTTTCAATGTTTGAAATGTAGCACATTGAGAGACGTGTCTCATTTCAAACTGCAAGTGCCATAAATTACCACCTTGTTTACTATGATTAAATAAAACCTTTGCTTTCATTTGAAGTTTATGTTATCAATTCATTAGCTACTCAGGAAAATATAACCTGCTTGGTCTCAAACAGCACTACTGAAAGTACGTGGAACTTTTGTGAATTATGAATGCTCACCAGAGGGAAGGATACACCCAACAAGTGGTTTTCAGGGAGTACAATTATCCTAGTAAAGCAAAAATCCAGTAATCCAGATTATACCTACTTAAATGCAGTTACTGTCTTCAGAACCATTACAGTTTGATTTGAAAGCCTACATAAGACACTTCTTAATGGATTATTGGCTTGCCAACTACAAATACCGTAAGAGGCCAGTAAAAGAAGGATTCAAGCAATAGATGCTATACTGTTTGTTAGTTCCACACATTTTACAAGAATTTAAGAATGTCAACATACATTCTACAAGTCTGTACAAATGTAAATATATATTTTTTATTTCATTTTAAAGCACAACCACCTTTCACATCACCATTCGACCATGTCAAATTTGTTTGCAGTTTCTTTGATTTAAAACAAAGAGACTTTTGTGACATAGCAGTCCTTAGCAAATAAGTTATGTGCCAAGACAGAACTTTATTAAGGCTTCAACAGATATGCATATTTAAAAGGTAATTACACAGAAATCCTAAAATTCAGTAAATAAAGGCAGTTTGCAGGTCAGAGCTTATGCTTTAGGTGACTTGTTGCTCTTCCCTAGACAATAAAAAAACTCGCATGTATAGAATTTCTTTCAGCTTCTAATTTTAGAATCATGCTTCTACTTATCCGGCAAGTATTTCAGGTGGTTAATTTAAGGCTGCCTACACAAAGATATCAGAATGCAGTTTCTCAACTGCTGTATTCATGTTTACTACTTATTTCATTTCTTCATTTCTATTAGTTCTTTGGACTGTTAAAAAAAATGGTTTCACAAAGGCCTCAATGAGAGCCATTTTGACAAAAGTCCTTGTCTTGAAAAGTGCACTTTGAATAAAATAGATGAAATGTAACTGTAGAAAGTTAATATATTGCTTGTGCAATTTTTGTCTGAAATGAACTCCTGAAATTTACACTTACCATATCTGTGCTAAAACTGGTTGAGGTAACCCAGACTGGAAAAAAAAGTTTCTGGCTTGATCACCTGTCAGAAAGGAGGAAGTATTTCAAATGGAATGTCTTAAGAATGATAAGAGAACCAATGTACAATAAATAAAATTTCTAGGTTGCACTTTTAGGGTGTTCAGTATACTGCCAGTTATCCATACACCAGGGATGGGGAACTTGTAGCTCTCTGTTTGTCACTTGATTAACTCCAATCATCCTTGACCCAGGGTTATTCTGGCTGGGGCTAATAGAAGCCCCTGCCTTTTACCAACCATGTACGGTAGATCAGTATTATATAAACTGGAGGCAGGGGAGATTACGCCATTGAGCAATCTGTTCCCTTTTGCCTTGAAGGAGCCTCTACCTTCAGAAAGAACCCTATGTCAAGTTCAGTCTGGCCGCATCCATCAGTCAGAGAAAGAGCAGCTGTATGGTGCCTGCTTACCTCCTCCGTTCCAGAAAGAAAACTTGGTTCCAACTACCAATTGCCCTGGGATTGCAGGACTGAAGGGAAGAACTCTCTGGCCTCAGCCTTAACAAGAGGAACAATGGCTGGATTATCAGCAGCACCTCTGTTGTCCAAGCAAAACCAACAGCAAGGGAAGAACACTGTGGCTCAACTGGATGTAGTTGTCTGGTTATAGCTCTTTATTCCTGGCAATGTCAAACCGATATTCTTTTACCTCTACTTCCCTTCCCTTGCATGCTTTGTGTTTTTAGTTTGTAAGGTTGAGGGACAGGCCTATCATATTTATTTATGTGAATTCCTCTGGGATACAAAAATTATAAACAAATAAAGAGGGTGTGATTTGAACTGGGCACTTCCAAGTCCACAAGTAAGCCCCTTAGCTACAATGCTACACTAGTTTTTAAAAATCCACATTACAGCCACCAAAGACTACATTTTATTAGACGAATACTGAGATACTATACTGAAATGTGTTAAAGGGGACGTGAACAAATTCTGAACTGCACATTACTACAAACTGAAACATCCTTACTTTAGTTACCAGGAAATTCACATTGCATTAACATCAGCTTAGATAAAAGGGAAACATATGGTTCCTGCTGTCTCTCCACTGCAGCAACTCTTCCTTTATTAGAATAATGTGCCTTGTGAAAGTGAGAAAGCGAACACTTTCTCCACAGAAACTGTTCTTAAAACATATGAATGATGATTTCTCATAAAACTTGGATGAAATGTTCTTTTCATTCAAAAATGTGTGGCTAGAAGACACAGCAGCACAGAAATGAGGCAAAACTGCCAACTTGTTACATTTTGGGGGATAAGATTTAACCAGCTATGGTCACTCTGTAAGTCTGATCCAAACCTCCATTCCTTCTAGTAAAAGGCAATCAAAATGATCAAGGGGGCTTGAGCGACTTCCCTATAAGGAAAGATTAAACCATTTGGGGTTATTTAGCTTGGGAGGGGGATGTGAGTAAAGAGGAAATATAGTAAAAGTGTATAAAATTATGAATGCATACAAGAAAGGAGATTCAGACTAAACATAAAGAAAAACTCCCTGATGGTTAAGAACTGTTCAACAATGACACAGACTTCCTCGGATAGTGGTAGACTCTCCTTCACTAGGAGTTTTTAAGCAGAGATTGGATGGCCACTTGTCATGGATGCTTTAGTTGAGATTCCTGAATTGCAGAGGGTTGGACTAGATGACCCTCAAGCACAACAAGAAGACAACATTATTCCTCTTTGGTTTATCCCTGTATACAGAATTAAGAGGTACACTACCTCTGAATTTTACTACTGTGACTAGTAAGCTGGGGTGCAGCAAATAGAAGAAACAGTGGCTGATAGGGCCAAGGGAAGTTGTGGTGGATCTTGCAGAACCAAATGTTTGGAGGCACCAACCATCATTTTTATATTAGCAAACTGCCTCACTTTCATACTACATCTGCTCCTCCTTTCTGCCGCTTATGGAGAACCATGCAAGATGCAAATTTGACAGACAAGAATCAAAGACATTTCCCCCCATGCACAAGAGAGTCTGCTTCTTTTTTATTTAATAATATTATAATTATTCTAGAACTTAGATTCCAGTATGAAAAATAGGAGACAATCCATGAGCTAACTATACATCTGATCAGAATCACAGAAATCGCACAGCAATGAGTTTTGTATTTTCCCTAACTTCAATTTGGCAATACATTTACAAACATATATCTTTAAAGTACTGGTACTTCCTTTCCTTCTCCTTGCAGTCTTAGAGAACAAGTAGCATTGCTAAGTTGCCTCTTGGATGCTTGATCTGGGGCAGCCCAAGGAAAACCTTAAATTGCATAATGGTGCGTATTATTGCAATGGAAATTACACATGACAGCTATGGCATTACCAGTGATAAATCCAGATATTGGTTTCAAACTGTGGAACTGTTGATCATGTTTAGCTCTCTCTTCCACAGTTACGGCCCAGATGTCCAGGTTGCCTAATTCACAAGCAAGAGATTGAGATATTGTCAGGAAAAATAGGCTTTACAAATAATGACAGCATCAGCTATTTTCTCAATGTGCTTTGAAGAATCTAAACACTGCTAGACTTGCACAAAAGCCTTCCACCACAGTGGCTGAAACAACTCCCATTGCCTCATGGGATGCTGAAGGAAGGAAAGCTCAGCAACTGTTACAGAGGAGACCAATAAGCATATATCCTTGCTGTGCATACAGCAAGCTGGTAACACAGGCTGCCAGCAACACAGCTACAGCTTGCTGCTGAAGATCTAGAATCTATGAATACAGTTGCCAGAACCCATTGGCAACCATAAATATCATTCTGGTGATCAAAATAGTAAAAAGATTCTTGTATTACAAGAAGATAGTGGTTTAGTCATTTAAAATGGCATCAGGATGTATCTTATGCTAAGATGCAGCATCACTGTATGGGTTGGTGGGAAGAGGTTGTTACAATGCACACATCCTCTACCCTGTAACATCCCTCTAGTCAGCGGCAGGTACAAAACAAATAGACACTCACTGTAGCCTCTGTTGAACCAGAAGCAAAAAGCCTGCTCTCCATCTAACTATTGGAAAAAGTAACTGGCTACCAAGGCCAGTCAAAACGTGTGAATCTCCAGCAAAGGTGGAAGATTAGGATCAGCAGGTGGGCTCCCAACTAATTTTAGGCTTAAATCCCCACCTAAATTGTATGACACAATCTTATCAGACCCCTGGGCACAGGTTATACTTGAGCAACAACCTCTTGCTGCCTTTACCTTCAGCCATGCCCTGCATCAGCCTCCCCCACTTTCAACAGCCACCCAAGAACACTCAACACATATAAGCAGTAGGGTGCTTTTTTTTCAACAACTGCAACTACACACTAAGTTTATTGGTGTGTTCAAGCCCAACTATATTTTCCTCATGAAGCTGGAAAGCAAGCATGAACAAGAAGCATTGGGGGGGGAGTGAGTCCTAATACTTACCAGCAAAAGGTGTTGGAAACTGAGCCATGGTTCAATCACCTTTAACTTGCTAATAGATGCCTGGGGAGTAAAGAGTGGCACATTAAGACAAGCAGGTATACAGGTATTACTTCAGAGCAGTGGCGTAGCGTGGGTTGTCAGCACCCGGGGCAAGGCAAGTAATTTGCGCCCCCTAACCCGTGGATTTGCGCCCCCTAACCCGTGGATTTGCGCCCCCTAACCTGTGGATTTGCCCTAACCCCAGATGTTGCGCCCGGTGCGGCTGGCCCCCCCTGCACCCCCCACGCTACGCCACTGCTTCAGAGGTATTTGCTTACTATCATATAATTTACTGATATACAGAAAAAGAGAACTTCTTTATAAATGCAGTAGTCATGTAAATATAATCAAGACAAAAACGGTTTCCAAATGCTATGAAATATGCCCAGGGCAGCAAGCATAAAATATTAAAGAAATACAATATTCAGCTTTCTTCCTGCTCCCAGTTACAACATTGCTCCTTATTTCAGAACCTACCGTAGTTGTTCCTGGCCATCAAATACTCAGCCATCTGCACTTAGCTGCATCCTTAGAATGGCCTTTTATTTTTACCCTATTGTTACCCTGCCTCTGTCCTCCACTGGCCCCTCTGCCAGTTACCAGTTCAGAAACCTCACTCATTACCTCTGCCTACAGCTCTGGAGAATTTCCCTTTCTGTGTGTATTATAATCAATATAGACCCCTGTCCGTATACTAAAGATTGAATTTGGATCACCAAGTTCTAGAGTATCACATTATTAAGACAGAGAAACAGCAAATATAGTGAAAGCTATTTTATCCATAGCCTGGGGGAAAATGAGATACAAGTTTTTCTTACTATGATAATCAGCAATTATGCTCTACAATATGTGCATGCCTGCTATGACTACAATAATTTTGCAGTCACTTTCTAAAATACTAAATATCTTTTAGCCATATTTCACTGTTTCCCAAAAAACTGCAGTGGAATTATATGTGATGTTTAGCAATTACAACATGAAGAATGCTAATAGCTCTTTGTTTTCCCTAAAATCTTATATCCACCCAAATAACACTAAGAATATGTACATCCCATATCTATCCAGAGGCAACCCATTTGAGAAAGACATCACCCTTCAGTAAAATAAAGTATGTGGGTTGCATTCAATGTTAGTTCTACTGGGAACAGGCTCGTTGAAAGTAATGGACATGACTAACTGAGGTCCATTAATTTTAATGCAGCTACTCTGAGAATAACTTTAATGAAATACATAGGGCTGTATTCAACCAAGTCTCAAGAGGTTTGAGGAAATTGGTGAATCACTTAGGACAAAAGGCCAGGTAACCTCCTAACACACACAATAGCAAGCTTTGGAAAACACATGACTCAAAAATGTAGACCTAATAGCCATTTATTATGTTAACACTCAAGATTCACTGTTCTACAGCAGCCAAAATCTGTTGTAAAACAAGGATAGGGAACCCACTGCCCTCCTAATATTCAGACTTCAACTACCATAAGCTAAGTAAGCGTAACTAATGGGCACAGATGATGGGTACAACAGCCCAACAACATCTGGAGGACCAGATTCCGTAGCCCTGCTCATAAAAGTTGTCACCTATGGTTTGAAAGCATAAAACCTTTCTTAAACTTTCAGACTAAACGGAATATGAAGAGGAGGAGGAGGAGTAATACTACTACTACTGCTGCTGCTGCTGCTGCTGCTGCTGCTACTACTACTACTACTACTACTAATTTATTTCTTGGACTCCACCCATTTGATTCCTTGTCCCAACCACTCTGGGCAGTTTCCACTCCTGCCTCTGCTCCTTACCTTGCACAACAGCAGAACATGGGAAAGGAGCTGCCCAGGTTTCATTGTCAACAGAGTCTGTTGACTCCAGGTAAGGAAGCCCTTCAAACTCTCACCAACATAAAATGATTAAGTACCATACTCCAAGAAATGAATGGCACTCACTCTCTCTCCCAAATGCTCCTTGAAGTAAAGCAAAATCTTCTAATCTTTTATAGACTCTGCATCCCTCTTGCTGTTCTGGCTTCAGTGATAGCTGTGCAGCCTGCATTCGCTCCATAAGACACACACACATTTCCCCTTACTTTTTAGGAGGGAAAAAGTGAGTCTTATAGAGCAAAAAATACGGTATGTTTTTCTTTCACTTTAAGTAGTTAAAGTGAAAAGATTAAAGATTTGAAGAAATTACAGTCTGAGTGTAATTTCCAGTCTTACATCCGTATAAATCATTTTGATTCAGTTGATTAAGGAAGTTTCATGCAATATACCGGTAATTGAGAAATAAAAGCCACACGCCATGGAGTTCTCATAAGGTCTGGCAAAGGGACAGATTTTTTTCAATTAGGGTTGTTACTAACATTGTCACAGTGCTAACTTTGCTTTGTAGCTTAGAAGAATCTTAAGCAAAAATGAGGGTGTTAGAAATACATCAAAGAGGGGAACACCCAAGCATCATCCTATGAGGGGCTACTTATTTGGAATGCTAATATTCTTATTTTATACAGCATCAGTGTGCATGGTGCTTTACAAATCACAAAAGAACCGGTACAAAAGAACACAGTCATCATGAGTTCTGGTCAGCAGTCCACCTGGGTGAGATCCCAAGGCTGGTAGCTGGGTCAGTGAGTTTTATTTGGGAGTCTGCATGAAGTTTACTCAAATGAGCAAACAAGACAGAGCTCAACAGCAAGAATAAATCAGCCTAGCAAGAGCGAGCAAGAAAGTACATAATGACAACCAGTACTTGGCAAGATGTCCAGGCCTGGACTGACCTACAGCAGGACGTTTCTATGGGGCCTTCATCCAACTGCAAGACTGAATGTTAATTGTATGGACAATGTTGTGACAATTGTAATGAGACCTCTGGGTACAGGGTGGTATATAAACCATTCATGAACTTCTGGGTGCATAAAACTAGTATGCTCATCAAGAGGGCAATGAAACACAGAGATAACAGCATGATAAACCTTAATCTTGCCTTCAGATGTAGATTTGACTGGTATAAACTCCCTTGGATCCTTCAGTGATGACCATATTGGTCCAAGTGCTGAAAATGGAATAGGTTTATTGGTGTGGGGAGATTATAGGCAAGATAGTCTGCGTAGGGATTTGTTTTCACCTCTAGAATTGGGGTGTTCTTGTCTATCCCCCTCCCTTTCTAAAGTTTTAAAAAAGGTAAACAACTCAAGGGTGATCTTGCCCCCAAATGTCAACAACTTTGGCTAACTTCCCTCTTTGGGTGACCTCCACAAAAAATACTGATTTCTTAATTTTGGGTTCAAAAAATTAGGGGTCATCTTATACATGTTTTATACACAGAAAAATACAGTAATAACAATCATCTGTTCCTTAGCAAGATGACTTGTTACACTGTGTCATGATTTATTTAACAAAAACAAAGCCAAAATGAAGAAGCCATGTGTGAAAAACTAAGTATACGGTTACTGCTTCCATAGAAATTAAGAGGATAAGTAGTAGACTGGTGCTGGTAATCAAATGCCCTTGCTTAATTGATCATCAGCAAGTTTGCCCACCTCTATAAAATCCAAAGTTTTAGCAGTTTGCTGGTCTGGAGCATTCAGGTGTGTTTTAACACAACGCTAAGGACGAAAGACATCAGCAATGCTGCCCATACAACTGGGAAGGTTTATAAGGCCATCACCACCAATTTTAAGTCAATCATTTTAGAGTGAGAAAGATTATTCAAAAGTGAAAAAGATTCAAGACAGTTGTCAATTTTCCCAGGAGTGGACATCCCAGCAAATTCACCCCAAGGTCAAGCTCTGCAATGGTCAAAGAATTGCAAAAAGTCCAATAGTTACATATCAGGCTGTACAGGACTCAGTTGGCATGTTAAATGTTAAAGTTCAAGACAGTAAAATTAGAAAAAGACAGAACAAATATGGTTGTTTGAAAGGGTTGCCAGGAGAAACCCTCTTCTCTCTAAAAAGAACATGGCAGCATGGTTTAGGTTTGAAAAGTTGCATCTTAACAACCATAAGACTTCTAGAACAATGTCCTTTGGACAGACAAGACCAAAGTGGAGATGTTTGGACATAATGCACAGCACCATATTTGGCAAAAACCAAACATAGCATATCAGCACAAACACCTCATACCAACTACCAAGCATGGTGGTGGAGGGGTGATAATTTGGGCTTGTTTTGCAGCCACAGGACCTGGGAACCTTGCAGTCATTGAGTTGACCATGAATTCTTGTGTATATCAAAGTATACTACAGTCAAATGTGAGGCCATCTGCCTGACAGCTGAAGCTTGATTGAAATTGGGTTGTGCAACAGGACAACAATCCCAAGTACACCAACAAATCTACAACAGAATGGCTGGGGGTGGAGGGAGAATCAAGGTATTGCAATGGCCCAGTCAAAGTCCAGACATCAACCAAATCGAAATGCTGTGACAGGACCTTCAGAGAGTTGTGCATAAATGTCACACCCAAGGAACACAGAGACATAAATCACAAACTAGACAACTCTGTATGTAGTTCACAAAAACAGTTAACAATAATGTAGAGCATTTCCATACTGTCTATTACATGAAATCTTAAATAATACATACAGTGCCAAAATAACAACATGCACAACTCAGTATCTCAAAGCCAAACAGTTCTGAAATAAGTGCATGAGAGCAACACTCTTTGTGTATATGTGTGCTGGTGTGATCCCAACTGAACTCCGAGACACATGGATTTCAATCCGTTTCGTGAATCTTCTTCTGGTCAGACCAAAAAGGAGCTATACAATGGCAGTTCAATGCTCCACAAAATAGATCAGCTCCCACCTTAGAATGGCACTCATATACAAGATGGCCACATCAGACTCACTCTCCCAGGCACCACACAAAGTGGTGGCAGTGAGTGAACATGGGGCTTCTCCTTGCAGCTACAATAAAATGAAGGCTCAGATGCAGCCTGGGCAAGTCAGGGGCTTCCGTGCTGCCGCCGCCCCAGAGAAGAACACAGGAAGGACTCAGGAAAGTGTCCTCCTCCTCCCATAGCCTGCAGGCAAT